CGTCTCCACTCAGAAATTCCACATTTTATACGGGGGGTGGGGGGAGAATAACAAAAATACTGATATTTGTAAACTTATAATCTACTTAGTTTCAAAGGATAACCCTGAAAACCTGTTTCACCATGTCAGGGAAATAATTTTTACAAGATTTCTGTCAAAGTTTAATTTTCTCTTGAGTGTTTCTAAAAATGTTTTATATGTAGTGTTCTTTGCTTTCTGTTAAGTGGCATTTATCCTCAAGAGCCTCAGGCTGTTACCAACGTGAACATGGGGTCTCAGTGCTAAAGCAGCCAGAACTGCTTAGAGGAAAGGCAGAGAAAAGAGAACAACATTTCAGAAGTAGTTTGAAACTCTCTTGATTTTACGTGCATGTGTTTGGCTTTGTATAAAGAATAACCATTAGCAGCTTTCCCTCTCGCATCCTTACTGTTTAGAACAGTCCTTGTCCTCAAAAAGGCTGTCTGATTTCTATCCTGCCCAGTTTATGTTGGGGAGTCTCAGTCTCCTTCTCTACTCTCCAAACTCTACTCTAAGCACCATATAAACAAACTCTGTTAGAGCAATTGAGGACTAATGAGTTTTACTGATGTTTGGAAGAGAAATGGTGAGAAAAGATAAGATGAGGACAAGTCAAGAAAATGGGCAGTGGGAGCTGGTGGGAGGAATAGCTTTGAAGATTATTTGAGCAAATGAGGAGGAACTAGAATTCAGTATGAATACTAGAACTTTAGCATTAACAACTTTCCATACTAAGCATGTCCAGGACTAAGGCATCAGTTTCCTTCAGATTTTGACTTCAGGCCTCCATCCAGCAAAATCCAGCCTGAGTAGGATTATTGAACTCAACCAATGTCAATGGGATTGGCTCACATGCTTAAATTTAAGCATGTACTTAAATGCTTTGCTTGTTCCAATCTATGATTGCTTTCTAAGTGGCAAACATCTATTAAGCACAGTGCAGGTGGTCAAGGGATACCCATTGCAAATCACGCAGCAGGTTTTGTCCTGCAGAGAGCTGCTTTGTGATTCACACCAGACTCCATGTTTTTCCATGTGTGAATCACAAAGCAGCTCTCTGCAGGACATCAGACTCCATGTTTTTCCATGCAGACAATCATTCTGAGTTTAACAACAGCCTTTCAGACTCACATATCCAAGAGCTGCCAGTCTGCAACTTATTTATTCAAAATTAAGTCCTTAAAACTTCCTTCCAGTGGCTTTTATGTTAATCATTGATATTATGATATGCATCCATCATCACAATTTGGACAGCTGTAAGCCATCATCTCCTGAAACTTCACATTTCAAAAACTTCCCTTCTAGAAAACAGAAATTTTATAGATCACTTTTCCTATGTATGTCTTCACTTCCTCTTTTATTCTAGATTATTTCATTAGAGACCAAAAGGAGCCCAAGTTACCTTGTAAATACAAGTAGACCCCACTTTTATTCTAGATTATTTCATTAGAGACCAAAAGGAGCCCGTTACCTTGTTGTAAATACAAGTAGACCCCGAATTTCACCGAAGTGTTGTGCTATTATCTGTGTCCTACAATAACACATCAGATGTGGATGTAGTAGTAGAGGAAGAAGTATTCCAGCAGAGACAAACCTTTGGATGCCTTCCCTAGGAAGAAGGAAAGCAAGCATACTAGTCAGTGTCCTTAAAAAAAGTTTGCATGACTTGTGAACGGCCCACCTGGAGCCACCTCAGAGCTCAAGCCTGCAGAAAAACAATTTTGAAATCTGTTCCAGAAATTTCCATCAGTCATAAAAGCAGAAACCTTGTGAGATCAAGGACAATGGCAAAGGATGAAATTGGCAGACAGCAAAAAAACAGTGAAGGTCAAACTCAGTATGAGGATCAAGCACTTACTAGCTTATCATCACTTGACTACAAGAGACCCATCTGATTTATAATCCTAAGCATCACATCCTTACATTTAAGACACTGGCTTTTCTACACTAGACCTGGTCTTTAGATGGTGTAAAGGTGTCTGTTCATATCAACAGAGATGCCAGGGGGATATTTCTGTGGTGAAAGATGGCTAAGAATTCCACAGCAGCTGACCACACTTTATCAGGGTCAACATACAGCTGAAGCAACCAGGAGGATGTTGATCAACTATTGCATATCAAGCTCCTTACAATCAAATAGGCATCCTTTGAGACATAGCCATGATTTTTCACACTTTTGGTTTTTTATTTTTGGTGAGAGGGATTGTAAGAAATTACATATATTCAGAAGTTATGTCTCATATTTGTGAAGTGCTGAGATTATTTATACATATGTGCTCCTCAGATTAAGTTGATTAAAAAAACCCCTTGCTCCCTTGCTAGTGTATGTATATGCATATACCCCTCCTTATGTTGCACATTTGTTTGTGAATAGAGCATTTTTTTAAAAACCCTATTTTCTCTGAAATGTATCCACAATTTCTAAAAGATGCCATGGCCACATAATAAATAGTAGCTAAATTACAAATTAGCAGAATGGCAGTAATAAATAGATCAAAGACCTCCCTGTGCTAATATCCATATGAGGAATAAACCATGGTATTTCCTATCCTGTAATGCATGCCATGGTTCTGATCCATAGGCCTCGCATTTTTTGCCTGCATACAGGCACGCACAGCTCACAGAGCAATGTGAGAGTCACAAGTCTCTAGTGTAATTCATGCTCCAGTTCAGCAGCTGTGGGGGGTTTGCTGAAGACAACGTGGCCAAGAAATTCCTGAGAGAATAAGAATGGTTGTTAACAGTTCTGAGAAAGTCTTCCTCTGGGTTATTATCCCATAGAGAGAGATAGTGCGGTTTGGCGGTCTTAAGCAAACAAACAGCTCTGAGAAACTACACATATTCCCTCTGAGATTACAGCAAATGAAAAACAAAAAACCATCCTCTCTTAAAAGTGGTTTGAAGCATTCGTGATACTGTCAGTGAAGTACTTGGACTTCTTCCTGCTTTGTGCATCAGGTCACAGTTTCCATACTCCCAAAGGAAACAGCCTTGGCTGAGCAAAAGAAAGTCCCATTTACTCTTACTGTTATCTTTTCAAAGCTGGCCTTGTTGAACAGCGATGAGGCACAAGCACATCTAATAACTGAAAACCACCAAAGAACAATGCAGTAGCATCTCAAAATGGGCACTCCTTTTTAAATTACTTACACCTGGGACACTGCTCACACACATTAAAGTAACGGAAGGAAAAGTTGCCTGAAAAATGTATTTTCTTGTACCATTTTCCAATCCCTTGAGCTAGCTGGCAAATGAAAGATGGATGGGATGCATTTCTAGGGCACTGAAAATCAGAAATAGAGTAAAAAACTACCTGGCCAATGGCTTAAGACAGTTTTAAGATTTCAGAAGTGACAGGCTCCTTTCTCCTGACACTACCTACTTACATTGCCTAAAGCAACACAGGTTAAACTCTCAAAGCAACAGTTTCTTAATATACCTGGAGTACTGAGCAGGAACTATTTCCTCAACTACCTCTCATGCATTTTAAGCTGTATCCAAGCAAATCAAGTTAACAGGGTAGATGGGGAGAAGAAACATAGTTCTGTGACTAAGAAGCAAGGCTACAATTCAACTGCTGGTACTCCCACAGATTTCCCAGCTCAGTCTTCTGTGCTCCTTCTGTCTCTGAAAAAATAACAGCAGTAGAAATAGTTCTAATATCTAACCTCTAATTTTTTTGTGTTATGTTTCTTAGTGTGCTGAGACAGCATTTAGCACAATCAAGTACTGAAGTTTTTTTACTGGTGCATAAGTGTGGCTCTATATTTGCTGGTACCAAACATCTGAGCAGCCCTTGGGAGAGCATTGGATAGCACCACTCATCTCTCTGATGCATTGTCATATGGTCCAGATGGCTGCAGTATGTAGGCAACTGGGAACCAAAGCAGCAGGAGGAGTACATCCTGCTGCAATTTCCTTCTGGTGCTGATCTTCATGCGTTCAGCATTTATATTAGTTTGTGGTTAGGAAGTCCACAGGCCTGGGTGGCCTAAGACCTAGCAAAAAAAAAAATACACTGTAGCTTGCCAGCTATCAAATGACCAGATTTGCCCCCAAAACCTCTGTAAAGGTTATTGCAGCTCAGCCAAGGGAAAATCCCCTCCTGTGCAGCGTGAATTATCAATTCCACAAGGGTGGCAGTCTCTTCCAAGTGGGTCTGTTATTGAAGAAAAACTCAGAAATCTCTGTACTTTAGCAGAAAAACTATTACTATGACATACAAACTCAGAAAAAATTAGGAAACTAGACTTCTTCCATTTGGCAAATGCAATTTTATTTCTGGATTAGTTGTGAGAATTAAACATTTTAAATATTCTAACATTTATACCCTGCCACACACATTAATTGGCATACTGGAAGAATACTACAAATAAAGAAAGTCAACATAAGTAAGCATCTGCATATAAGGACAGAGTTCTCAGGAATGTAATTGTTATTTTTATGTGCTGGAGAGGAGGAGGGCTTCCAAACCTTGAAAAGGCAAGACTTCAGTGGGAATTTGATATGCCAATGAACTGTCTCTCTCCTGTAGAACAGGTAAGAAAAATCTAAACAAAACATGAAAAACAGAACACAAACTGGCAGGTACAAGAAAGGGAAAAGACAATGACACTTCTTACGAGGTATCTCTATAACATAATTACTAAATCTACAACTGTAATAATACTTGAAACCAAGCTAGTATCAATGTTATGGTCTTGAGGAATTTACACAAACCTAAGGCACAGAGTCATCAAGAGCAGAAAGTTACACTTGGTGGCTTCCTGCACAGTTTAGTCACATATATAGGCTCACTGAGAACAAAGTACAAAACAGCAGACTGTGAATCACACTCAAATTTCCCACCCGTGACTATATGAGGGAGGAATTTTTGCCAACAATACAAATACTCGGGAGTATGGATGTGACTGCACATAATGATTTTATCTGAGCTACTTGCTAGTTATTTACTGTGCTGGTACAGAAGATTTTCTATACTCTATGAGCAACACAATCAAAATGATTTTATTATAATGCTTGCATTCCTGGTATTCCCAGTTCTTTCACCAGCAGGGTTTTCATGGTCAAAAAACTGTCACAACTGAGACAACAAAAATGGACATTAAGAAAGCTACAAGAATATGAGAACCAAAGTTACCTGTGTACTTTCCCATTTTCCCATGAAAATCACTATCTAGGAAGTAAAAATATAATTCTTTTCACACCCAAACTGGCCTGTGAATGTGTATTCACAAGTGTTGCATGTGGGAACAGACATCTGTGTTCTATCTTCATTTGTCATTTTAGAGTCTATTTCCAGGAAAACAAAGATGGTTTGCAAAATTTGGCCCCTCAAAATAGCAAAAAGAGATTGAGCGCTCACAGTCTGAACTATGCTGGTCAGCAGTTCTTTTCGATCATCGTGCAAAAAAAGTTTTGCTGTATGTCTATAGAATGATAATAAATTACTCAAATTATCTGAAGAATCTGATGTCTCTAGTTCAATTTACAGGTCAGTCAATAAAAATCCATTTCATGTGGTTATTGATTTCCTGTTAATTTACTGAGCAGCAGGTTTCTTCTGAGAAGAGATTCCATTTCAAGAGTTGTAGTCTTCCTTAAAAAAATGTCCTGGGGGGAAAAAAGATAGTGAGAAACATGTTGTTAGCTCTCATGCAACTTTTAATCTTTCTAGAGAGCACAGTTTTTAAACTGGATCTTAAGTAGTTTTGATTTGTATTATAAGTAATAATTGAGAAGACGCACATGCAACAAGAAATCTTACCTTGGTAGTTCTAGAGATCTATGACTGTTCTTACAGTGATTACAGCCACAGAGAAACCATACAGAGTAAACAGTCTCAGAGACAAGGATAATTTCAGAACAAACCCATTGTAAAAGTAGATGACAGAATAACAGAGGCAAACTTCACCGAAACCAAACACTCATGAATACTTGTTTACAGGCACACTGTGAATAATCCAAATGGAAACTTGTTCTTTGGACAAGCCTTCACAAGAAAATAATTTATAGTTGCTTTTATACTGATGAACTCAGAAAGCCACAGCAGTGGTCCACAGATAAGGAAAACACCTTAGGTTAATCCTACTTGTTTAGAGAGGGCCTATTTATTTAATAGTCTGGCAGGTGATAAACCAATTCTGCAGAGGATCTCTGAGGGACTTTATGAAGTAGAAACTAAACACTTATGTTTTAGTAGCACAGGCATGGCAAAAGCCCAAAGAACACTCCAGCTGCATGCCAGGAACAAAAGTAAGGATGGCAAGCAATGCACAGGCAGGCTCATGCTGAAAAAATAACACAGGTTCACAATGGCCAGTCATGTTAAGCCAGGTGTGCTATTCACCATGAGGGTCACTGCAGTGGCTACAGCTGCAGGAGATATCCTTGTCTGTACACAGGTGCACTGCCTTCAAAAACCTTTCTGTGTGTGGTGGGGCTGACTGCTGATGAGGGAATGGTAGGGCTAAATATACAAAATATAAAACCAAAAATAACAGTTATTTCCTCGCCCATTAGTTTAGGCACAGGCATTAAACAAAATTTCACATTAATCTACAGTTGGTGTTAGGCAGTAAAACTGATTCACAGCAAGTGATACTCCAGTACTGTGCATAGAGCAAGAGCCCAGGTTAATAATAACTACAAAACCTTGCTCTACCATCTTACTTGCCAGTAAGGATATCTTCAGATCTCCTTCAATCAAACTAGAAAACGTGTCTCACTCTTGAAACTGTTTGTCGAAAGTAAAACAAGCTGTATGACTTCATACCTCTATCGTACTTGTAGCTGTAGATTCTACTGTTTCACACCTGTGCTGATTATCTTTAAAACAAGGATGCTGTGAGCATTGCCAAGACACCCAAATCCCTTATTCTCTTTTGAAAATATTATATAAGCTTGCTTAGACAAGAACAATAACTGCAATCTAATTTAAAAAAAACAACAACAAACAAAACCAAACCAAACAATAGAATTGAATGTCTGGTTGTGATGCAGAATGTTTACAGGGATTTGTTTCCCTAAATTATGATCTATGGGAATATAGTAAATGACTCAGACTGAAGTTAAGTGTAACTTCTAAAAAAAAAAAACAACAACAAACCCTAAATCCTCAAACTTTAAACTGAAAGTATGAGCGTGTAGTCACGTACAACCAGTTCTGAGAATCACAATTTTGCAGTCTGGGAACCACTGCTGTAATGCATGACAGTTACTTATAACTATCAAATTAGCAACCATGTAATGCAGGAGGTTATATAGGCCATAAGAAGAAGAAGATACTTGAAAAATGTTTGACATATTGTTACTCAGCTTTTAATCCCCAGGGAAAAAAGCTTATGCACTTACATTTCATCATCATATTCTTTCGGAGGTGATGCTGCAATGACTAAGTCAATCCAGTCCTGAAAAAGAAAAGCAGAGGCAAACATCTGCTGCTAAATACTGCTTTTAGAAGTGGCCAGTGGACCACCGTGGAATGTCAAATGGAGAATCTGGGAGGTAATCTATTCCTGGAAAACCACAGGGAGAAGGAGCAAGGTCTCTATTAAAAACTTATAGGAAGACCACTTTAACATTGAGCTGTTTGAGTTATAGTTTGAAACTAAAGAAAGATCTACTGTTGCAACAAGATTTTAAAAAAAGTTATTCTAAGAATCATCCTGTATTTGTCCTCTGAGCAATGAGAACAGTTCTTGCTGTGGAAACACTCACTGTAGCTGAAGGGCAATGTTGCTTGTACATCAAGAACTCAAATATAAGCTATTATCAGAAAATTCCAATCAGCTTGCAAGTAATTTTCAATATCCAAGAGTGATGCTACATGTAAATGTACTATAAACACTCCGAAGGTAATGTGTTTAAATATCAATCTTGACATGTGGCTAAATGCCATGAAATTTCCCAATAAATTACACGCATGGTTTTTAGAGATGCTACATACCAGCATCTTCTGCAGATTTTAGCTTACTTTGGGAGTACCTGATGTACCTACTACTTCTGATGTTTGCAACCTTGTTTGTGTTGACATGACAAAGTCATGATAGAGAAGGAGCTCTCATATAAGCTCTGTAGGTAGAATGAAGTAGTATTCCAGGTTACTTACCCCACCCATGTTCCAAGCTTTTGCTAGAGTTGCCTGTGCTTCTGCCAGCTTGCTGTCAATTAATATCTTGCCATTTACAGCCAGTATTTCATCCCCTTTCACTATGCCTCCTGGGGAAAAGACAAATGTGTCAAATACACATAAGCAAAACAAAATGCTAGGAGCCTTTTCTGTGCCATATTTTGCAGTAATGACTACAATGAAAAGTGTTCTCACTGGATATGAAGGTCTGCACTAAAAATGGTAGGAAGCTTGCTACAGGCAAACACAAAAGGATTTTTAAGCATGGCAGAGACAAACTAATCTCTTATTGATCATGACCAGTAAGAAATTAGTTCAGTGTGATTTTCTACAGTTTGCCTGTTTGGGTAATCCAGCTATACAGCTTAAAAACTGTGAGTGAGTGTAGAATGTTACTACTATGCCCCATCCCCTGGGGAAATGTTCAAGGCCAGGTTGGATGGGGCTTTTGGGCAACCTGGTCTAGGGTAGGGTGTTCCAGCCCATGTCAGGGGCTTGGAATGAGATGATTTGTAAGGTCTCTTCCAACACAAAAAATTCCATTATTCTATAAAAATGGCAAAAGTAATTAAATTCCTGAAGGAATAAAGTGACATTTCTCAAGGGTTTCCATGACGATAATTTCTTTGCAAGTGTATGTGCAGTGTTTGCTCCTTAGAACTTATTTTGACTTGCTGGTCTGGAATGAAGCACAACCAATTAACTGAAACTGGATTTGAAGAGGATGGTAAGAGGACAGCCTTAGTTATGAGAGATTCTAAAAAGAGTGAAGGGCTGAAAAAGAGCACTGAGGATATCAAATAACTGAAATGTTTTCACAGCAATGTTTTCACTTGAACGTAGGTGCAGGCTGGGACAAGGACAGCAGACAGTGTAAGGGAATATTGCCCTCTCTGCTGACCTGGTCATCACAAGAGTTCTCAAGGAAAGGATGGCAGATACTTCCCACCAGGTGCAAAGCCCAGATGTGTTGGTGAGCATGTTTTTGTGCCTTCAAGAGCTAAGCTTCAGTGGCCCTGGCCATTAGTTGGGTTTTAGGAGTTGGGTTTTAGTTGGGTTTTTAACAGCCAGCTGCTTACTAGACAAATTACTATTTAAAGTAACATAAAGAACAAAACAAAGCAGTGTAGTGTAGCTATTGTCAGGTAATTGCTTTGCATGTGGAAGTATTACAAATGTCATTGCTTGGAAATTGTGAAATAATGGAGAACACATTCTTTGACTAAAGAATATAACAGAGAATCAGGTGTTGGTTTTTATAAATTTCACATAATTATTAATTTAAGCAACACATGTGGGCTGCCCTTAAACTTGAGACAGAACTTGGGTCCTTGGGCAATCTAAGTGAGCCTTTCAGTACCAGGCTATGAAGTCAGCCAACCATTCTCAGCCAGTGTAAGGAAACACTTTTCAGCAGCATTCAAATTCCCCATTGTTGCTCACCATGTTTGTCTGCAGCACCGTCCTCGTAGATGGCAGACACAACTATTTTTCCAATTGGAGAATCAATTCCTCCCTCGACTGCAAGGTCCAGTGATCCTTCCTATGAAAAGAACAGTTCTAGTTCAGAAAAATCTGTTAATTTTTGCCATTAACAGGAGCTTAATCTTTCCTTCTTCCCAGTACATAAACCTTTTAAATATCAATCAACCAACATAGTAATTACCTTTTTTATTCGTAATAGCCGTACATCTTTTCCTATAATCTGGTCTGGGGTAAACTGTGAAAAGATATAACAATTAATCATTTCCACTTTGAAAACACAAAACAATTAGGCTGATCTATGTAATTTCTGGGGGAAAAGGGACCTTTCTCCCCTCTAAAATAGCGTAAGAGGGAGATCAGAACACCACATCACCTTTTCTTCTAAGAATACTCCTGTTCAACATGACCAGAAAAGACAAATACACAAGACCCAGAAAAGCAACAAGCAAGAATCTTACCTACTCCCAGCCCTCAAAATTAAGGATTTGGCTTTTTTCAAAAGTATTTCATATTAAACAATGTGTCATGTTTAAATTATCTCCTTACCATTGAATATGGATCAAAATCTTCCACATACTTCTGGAAGCCCTGAGAATAAAATTATATTTAATTGCAAAACCAGCAACTCACACACTTAACATACAAATTCTGTCTTATTTATTAGTGAGAGTACATGTAATTCTGTAAGCTATGAAAGAAGACAGAAATTGAAGAAAACCCAGAGAGACAGCAAAGAGTCCATCCTGACAGTCAGAAGACATTTCAAAACCTCATGACAGATCAAATATTTGAGTTGGTCATATAATGGAGCATTTCTGAGGAAGCATTTACCACCTGTCAGCTCCATAGCTCCTCTCTACACCTGACAGAACAAAAACAAATCCTGAAAGCACCATAGGCAGATATGTTCTGCCACACTGTTTGGAGCAACATTTCTTGGGATTATCAACATGTTGGATTGTAACAGGTAGAAATGACAGGCTCCAATTCACCTGTCAACAACACTATCCTCCACTGTCTGGGTTTTAGGATTCCTTTTCAGCCCCCTTCTCTCCCTCTTGATGTAGAGTTTTCAGGGAGTTGGCTCCATACCACAAGCAAATGCAGGACAACAATTTGTTAGACAATTTTCAAGACAACAATATGATTTTTGTTTTCATATGGTTCTGTGGAGGACATAAAAGTTTTTTCAGGGTATGTCTGAAATGCAGAAGACGATACCACAGTTAGGCACAGCAAGATTTTTAAGCTTTGAGAGGACCCACAAAGCGTAGTGGTTAACCCCTCTCAGACCAAGACTGCAGGGAAAAGCAGGAGTTACCTTTTCTGCAAGATGGGAGTTCCTGCACCAGCAGTCAGGAGTCAGTGGTGTTTGAGTGCAGTTTCTGGAGGAGGATTAGTAGCTACTGGGTAAGACCGTATGGCCAGTGCTGGGGATTTATGAAAGCTCTGCACCTACCCAGCATGCTAAAGTAAGGACTTCAGAACTTAACAAAATCTTTACTGAGGCACCTAGCTCCCACTCTTGTGGCCTCAAGCTGCAGTAATCTGGTGACAGGGGAACACAGAACCACACAACCCTTTGCAGACACAGCAGGCAAGCCAATACCTTACACAGACCAGTGGTTCAGTGCATGATCAAGCTTGATATATTCATTATTGCCTCTTTTCTACTGCATCTATTTGACAACAAAGACTATTCCACTGTCAGAGTCACCTAAGCATTTTTCCACTTGTAAATCAAACACACAGCTTAAGATTCCTGTGGTGTATTTCAGGGCTGCCTGTTAAATAGCAAAGTTGCAGCAGAAAATACAAATACCGCCTCTGCTATACTCTTTATCACCTCCTTTGGTTGCCTAATTTTGATGTGACTATGAACCTTCTGGGTTCTGATCTCAGCCACAACAGAACTGCGTTACATGAAGTTTGTTACATTTGCATTATATTTGTTAACCAGATAAATGGGAATTTCATCACAGACATCAGCAAGGGCAGAATTTCATCCTGGGGGAAAAGCTTCAATCAATCATTATTTCACTAAGTGTGTTAATATTATGAACCATTTAACTAAACCATAAGACAAACATGTTACAATGAAAGCTACCTAAACAATTAATACTTTGAATAATTGAATTAGTACTGCCTTTTGGAATCATGACTCAAGTAGATATCTATGGGTTTGGAGCAACTAATTTAGAGAAAAGAACTCCAATCTCAGCCAAGTCAATAAGTCATTATGTAATCTAAAGGGAGTCAGTGAACTCTTTGTCCCAGGTTGTCCTCATGAAAAACAGATGTTGCCCTTGAAGGAAGCTTCCCTGGGAAAATAATCTTTAAACAGGAAAAAAACAAAAAAACTCCACAAAAGCAAACACACACACACAAAAATATCACCAAAAAAACAATCTGCAAGCAAAAGTCATAGAAACATAGAATATCCTGAGTTGGAAGGAACCCACAAGGATCACCAAGTCCAACTCCTGGCCTGCACAAAGTGACACCATGCACCTGAGGGCACTGTCCAAACATTTCTTGAGCTGTCAGGCTGGTGCCTCTTGGAGCCTCTTCCAGTGCCCAACCACCCTGGGGGTGAAAAACCATTTCAAAATATTCAACCTAAACTGTTCTCCCCTTGGGTTCATGTCACTATGTATCAGAGATATAATCTGGATCCAATAATGTACAAATATTGCTAAGACAGAAAGAAGACATTACTGAACTGTAATAAATCTTCCCTGAAATGGACACCACAAATTCACTCCATATCCAAGCAGGGATGAATGAACCAAGGAACAGTAAGTGGAAAGCACAGTCCTAAGCCTACCCTCCCACCACTCAGGACGTTTCAGGTGAAAGAGTTAAGAGCATTCAAATACCTTCTTGACTTACAAAATGTTCAGAGGACTGATCATAATTTTAAAATGGAACACTAAAATATTTGATTGCTCTGAAGCAACTCTGTCTGGACTTCCAGGTGAAAGCTGAAGTTGCTATTTAAAGAAAAAATAACCTCCAAAACACAAGCACTTATACTAATGATACTGCTTCACTGGTTTCTAACAACAATAGTCAAGAGCAATTGAGACCAGAAATAACAACAACAAACCACAAACAAACAAACAAACCCCAAGCAACAAAAACAACAGATAATTGAAAGGGAAACTCACGATCAGAAATAACAAACTTTTCAAAAAACCACCTCTTTTGAGAACACAATTGTTACGTATTCAGAGCATACTGGCATTTACTGGCAAATAATCTCAAAGCTGGATCTTTTTCAGTCAGTTATCCCTTCTAGATATAGATTGAAACTGCTTAAAAGAAGAAAAAGTTATTAATCTTAATGTTTTACTGCTCAAAATCTGACACTGTGAGCTCAGTACTGCGTGCCAACTTTTCAGGTAATGTCAGTGCATCTAACTTAGCTTGCACTACCAAAGGGGTTTTGTACAGAAACTGGCACATTTTACAGCAGTGAAGTTTAGCATAAAGTTCACTTCTTCAAGGAGCCATCTATTGAATCACCAGCTAACCAAAGATGAAGAGACGAAAACTTCATCATTATGACAGGAAAGCAACAAAAGTAAAAATGCAGCAGGAAAATCCTACACAATACAGGAAGGCTGAATGAACAAGGCTTTCCACCATCAGTTCCTCTAATTTCCTAGCAGTAACTATGTTATGATGACAGCTCTATGTCAATCTGATAAAGTATTTTATCACTGAAAGCACTGCAGCTGGACACTAAAAGAAACAAGGAAATCTTCAGAATATCAGATCATTTATTAGTGTTCAACTATCTTAAAGGTTGCACTTAACCATATAGGGAATTACAGATGGTTCAGCCTGAAGGGTTTATTCTCATTCTTCTGCCTAGCCTTGTTGGAGCCACAGGCACACACTTTAAGCTTAGAAAGACTAGCAGTTTTCATGCACGAGGGCTGTCTTGCATCTTCTGTTTTAGAAACTGAGCAACAGAACTAGAAAGGAAAGTTTTAAATCTATGATCAGTCAAACAAGAAATACCACACAAAATACGGAAAATGTTATTTTACTTGTTTTTTGTTAGATCTAAATGATGAATTGTAAACCACCATCCTTTTAAACATCTCTTGTGGCTGCAAAAGAAAGAAAATTGCCAAACCAGGTGTTAACTTTTTGCTGTAAATAAGCATCACCTACTCATAAATTATCTTACTGCTTATTTTGCTCTCCTAGGGACTGAATCATACTTGGACTTGTTAGGGCTTGTTCCCTGTATAATTTCAAAATGAGAGAACACACAGAGTGAAACAGTACTGAATGTAAAGTGGAAAGAATTCTAGAGAAATTACACAAATAATGCACATTTCCATACCACAAGATTTCTTAAAAATATTTTCCATGACTGTTTTTACAACTCAGTTCTACAAAACAGTGCTTGGGTCTCTCATCCATTAGAAAAAAAAAAAAATTAAAAAACCCCTAATCTTAAACATGGACAAAATGGTAGACAATGATTTCCAAAGTATTGAAAAGTCATGGTAAAAATATGCTTATGCATTTAAGGTTTTCTTTCCTTCCAAGTATTTCCTATACTGAAGAGGTGAATTCTATTATTAAATTGATTTAATTTTATCGTGTTTGGCTTCAAGGTCTTAAATTTCATATTCATTCTGTTTTTCTGTCACTTCCACTATTCTGACAAAATGGTATGCAGTAGTTTGTAATAATTTAAAATACAGAATATCTTCTTAGTCTACAAAAATTTTCAAAAATGAGATGGGCTAACCCCCATGTTATTATTATACAAAACACTACTGACAGTTCCCCAGCCTCTGCTGAAAACAAATGTAGCAAATCAGACAACATATTCGAGTTTTCTGAAATAAGAAAAAACTTTCTACAGACCAAACTCTAGCATCTACGTTTTCAAATTCAGTTTGCTTTGAAACCAATTACTATATACCAGTTTTACTAATGTTCCTCTCAGTGTCCTACAGTCCTACCATTACTTGGAAAAAATATATTCCTGAGTTAATAAAATGTGATTTATGTTTAATTAATACAAACTGGAAGTTTTTGTCTTGGAGGACTGGTGGGCAAGTTTGGAAAGATTTTCCACAAATCTCTTTAGAACCGCTCTAAAAAAAATATATATATATATTTTCAACACAGATTGTTTTGGTATGGCTATAAACAATACTAACTGAAATTTCCAGTCCTCCCCCATCTTGCCACAAGGTATCTAAGCACCTGTCTTTACTTCATTTCTGCAGAACCAGGCTTCAAATCTTGTAAATTGGAGGAAAACTTAAATATTTTTTCTTTTCAGAAAATCTTCATCCAGCTGCAAACAAATAACGGAGAAAAAATCTTTTCTAGCCAGAGCTTTGTAACTCACACAACAGGATGTTTTTGATAGATGGGAGAACAGAGACTTAGGTTCATGGTGGTTTTGCATCCATGACAATCTCACCACTAAATCATAACAGTCCCCTCCTGTTCTCTGAGCCACAATTTAATTGGCTTTGCCATGAGTGCATTCCAGTTCACTCTAGTACAGCTCACCCTGATTTTGACTCAGAGCAGCCTTCAGCATTCAAGGCCACATTTCCCCATTTATAAGTGAAAAAAATTTCATTTTCATCAATTGTTAAAAGACCTGGTAATTCTGACCTAAATTTGATTAATAAAATTACTTAAGTCACAACAGAGATTATCTGGTCCAGCTACCTTCCAGGAAACAGGAGACTTTTACCCATTCTTGCATGCCTATTTTATTCTTAAGCACACACTTTTTTCATCTTACTAGCCAGTTGACTGAACATAGGCCAACTGGATTAGCTGCTTGAGTCAAATAAATCCATCAATCTCAGTTTCTTGAGCTTGGTACTCAGGAAAGTTCAAGTCAGGTAAAAACAAGGCAGAAAAAGTGGTGTGCATTATGTCAAATTAAGACACAAAAGCTGGAGTTCCATAACGTGTGTGAAATCTAGGAAGATGGGAAACCAGACAGCAAATGGTGTGTTGTCTTTGGTGATACTCTCTTCCACTAGGAGAAGTGGAACTGGTCCTGTATCTGAACAATGAACTTCAACACACAGCCACAAACCCACACATAGCAACCAGTCAAACCCCTCTCCCCTTTTGCATGAGCTCTAATTATAATTCTTACAGAACTCTGGAGACAGGCAGGCACTGTCTTGTTTGGTTTGTCTTACACTGGCCTTTTGTTTTTTTATCTAATAGGGGTAATCTCCCTCTTAAGTATCCATGCTGGTTTTACTTCACATACCACTTGTGGCTTCATTGCAGTGAGGATGAATAAATACCCTTTACTGCATTAAGTCATCAATGGAAGTATGAGGTATAAGGTCTATCAAAGCAATTTACAGACTGATCTTTCTCTCAAAATCCTACCAGAATATTGCTCCCAAGGAAATTTTGATCTTCCAACTAATATAAGGCAGTTTGGGAAGGAAGATGATTGAATCTGAAAGATTTTAGCAGACTTGTGATTTGGAAAATGTGCATGCATGCATAACAAATCATAAGACATTTCCCATGGAGGTGGATCTTGTTGCCAGTTTTTTAAAATAATTGTATGTAGTCAGCCTTTTAAAATTTGTACCAAGACTGTTTGATCACACATAAAGGTATTATTCATTTTGCAAATTAGTTCACATATATACACTTTTTCAAGAGCTAAATGATACTAATTGCAGATTATGACTTTGTTCATTCCTGCCCAAAGGGACTTCATGTTGCTTGGAGATGTTAAATTACTGAACACAATCAAAATGAGAGCTCCAACTGAAGGAAACATCTCCACTGGAGGGATCTGAAATTATTTTTAGCTCATGTACTTGCCTTTTTTTAGCCAACTTATTAAAACTACTTCCAATTACCATTCAATTCATTTATAATGTAGAAGCTTCAAGATGACTCTGGCTCTGTGTGAAAAGTGGTTTCTAAGTATCACTTAAATTTGTTCCAAGTGTAACAGGGGAAAATAAAGAAGCAAGAGTATCTAAATTATTAAAGCAAAAAATGACAAAGTAATCCATCATGTTTTAATGAAACACAGCTAGGAATATTGTGCACATAACTTACTGCCAGAAATAGCTTTTAATTAAATAAATACAACACAAATTTGATTGGTTTTCTATCACTTACTATCTTACAAATGCATATATGCATGTACCAACACACATGCATGCAACAAACACAGAACTCTAATACAAACAGCTTAAGTCATGATGACCCTCAAGAATAAACACTACCGACTAGTTCACCAGCTATTTTAGGTGAATTTCAAGGACTGTCAGCTGGGAGTTATCACCTGTCTGAGCAATAATTCTCCTTTGTTTTTGCTCAGTACGCCTTGGCTCACTTTCCTCATAAACTATGATTCCCAAGGATGCTACACTGTTGGTCCTAAAATGTTTAGCCTCTGACTTTCCCCTTCACTTGCATTTGAAACAGAAATGGAAAAGAAATAAGAAAAAGAAGCTGATTGTGAGTGGATTTTGCAGTAACTCTGAATGACTAGTATTTTAGAGTCTGATATAATGACACACTTTTTTCCCCTCTGGAAATTAAAAGATATATTTATATTTTATATATATATATATAGATAATCAGTTATATAATGAGGCATATATCTTTCAAGTATGTTCATGACTGTTTACAAAGGAAAAAGGTCATTGAATTATTTTTTATTATTTCATTTCTGATGAATTCAGAATTTATAAAAATAAAACCCAGCATCTGAATAAATGAGAAATAAGATGTACAAATTCTAGGGCTTTACACTGCTCTGGAATTATGCACCTCTACAAAAACTGTCATTAACAGTGGCTTTTCCACCTTGGAAAAATAATGGAAAAATACTGTTTTGTACTTACCATTAGTGAATGCTTGAAAATATACAGGAATTTTAGTTAGCAAGAATTGGGACAAAGATTGATTCTTTGAGGACATCTCAAAGAACAATATCAAAACCAAACCCCCACAGTACTGGAGCACTCAGAAAAAGGATATTAAAAGGCTTACCAGGGCCTCTGATTTGATTGTTGGCCTGACCACGAAGTTTGGGTCAGGATGCAGCATAACTGGTTTAGAGACTATTGGTACCCCTGGATGACGCTGGGTAGGTGGACTTGGAGCAAGTTGCTATGGAGTTAATTTAAGAAAATTACAGTTTACAACCTAATTGTGCGAATCCATCATTTCACCAACACTCCTCAATTCAAGTGGTTTATCATAATGAGTTTAACGGCACTAATACAAAACAGAGCTGACAGAATTATTTTAACTAAGGCTTACAAAGTCAACAAACCAAAACGCAATTTCCCTTATATCCAAGTAGTAGCTTTTCACCTAAATTCTGGCTTCACCAGCAAGATTATGGAAAAATCCCAGCCCTGCTTTTGGCATTTTTCCTGTAAAGGCAACAAACTGAATGAGAAGTTAGAGGAAAAAAACCAAAACTCCTAAGGTTGAGTGTAAGAACACAGTGAACCCAAAATAAGATGTTAACTAATCCATGGCTAAATAAATATTTTAAGATGAAATTCAGCAGGGCTGCAGCAAACAGCTTTCCATAAGGAATTTCAAGTTAAATTATCTTGATTTAACAGCAAGGATTTATTAGGTTAATTCCCTGCCCTTGACTCCACAAAGTAGAGATACCCAGAGACATCTGAGAACTCATCATTCAGCATGTCCTAGTCCAATCCTACACTTCTCACTCAGCCAAAACTCCCACTGACATCAAGCACAGTTTTATTCAAGAAAAGAGTTCAAAACTGAGCCCTGTGGGTTCAGTTTCTGACTTAGGCCCAGCAACTCTTGGGACACTTTTCCCAATGTTTCTCATAGGAAATGTGATGTATTCCAGAGATCATTCTTATGGTACAAGCTGTAACCTCTGAAATTATTTATCTGCTTCCAACAAATGGGTTAAGGCACTTTTTGGATTTGGTTTTTTGTTTGTTATTTTTTGTGCATGTGCATGTGTTTTTTCCCTTGTGGGCTTATTTCCCCCATCCTTTCCTTTCTTAAATAATTTTTTTTTAAAGTTTGAATCAGATATTTTAAAGTCCCTGTGGATATCACTCAACTAATGCTGTTCCACTCTGCAAAATACATTGTATCATTAAACACTGAACTTACATGCATCAGAATCAACAGATTCACAGATACCAATGTGTTAAACTGCACTGGAACTGGATTTTTTCTTCTGGAGTTGCACAATTTAGCAACAGATTTTTCTAGAGTGCAGAATGGATGTCTGATCATTCTGGCTCAAAATCAGTGCAAAGATACCAAACAAATGGTGGTTCTGAGATGAAATTTGCATATTAGCACCCATTATATTTAAAAGGTAGTTTGAACCTAGCAATTTTTGCTTTGATGGAAGAACATACAGACATTTGCAACATGCAGAAATTGACTGCATTTTGCTAAACTCTTGAAATGCAAAATCCCTGGACCATTAGGAGTCACTTCCACCACTTGCGCTTTCAGCACAGCAATGTATCAACACAAATCATTCCATGTGCTGAATTTTAAATAAATTATCCCTGCAGAGTGAAACCCTTGGCAATTCCTTGTCATTAGCACTACATGGGAAGTTCATGAAACCACAGCCATGATAAACAGCTTGTGACATACCAGCGGGTTGCTTGACACAGGGGACGCTTTGCCAACGTGGGAGGTGTTTCTTACAACCTAAACAGCAACACACTTAGTACTGGGTTCATATAAAGTGTAAAGCTAATAATATTTTTTTTCAGAAACAGACAATTTATACCAGATATTTTAACAGCTAGTTCTCAAGACTGTCTCTGACAGGATTTTATTCCTTTTGTCAGGTTTTGTTCAAGCTGAATTGGAAATTAATTTATCTGAGTTAAAACCAAAAATGGAGCAATGTGGAGAAGATTTACCAGCTTGAGTAATATTAAATGAACTTATGGGACAACTACAGTTGTCTTTTTGGCTTTAGCAGGCATTACACAAGATCTTTAATCCACAGCCACGCAAATGCACTGCTTTTGCTTATCTGTGGGCTTAAAAACAGACTTTGTAAAAGGTAGCAAGAATAAATTGTCAAGCTTTGGATTTTTCTTCCATTTCTGAAACGACATGAAATATATTGAATTATCTGTTTATAAACAAAGCAGCTTTGGCTCAATTAATTTTACTAAGAGCCTAGTTATTTCCTCATATACAGTAATTACATTCAGTGAAAACTGACATTAATTTCAAAGACTAGGTTATTTATTGTATATTATTGTTACCTAACATATTTTTCTTAATTATTAATTTACTTTCTCTAACACAGCTAGCAGTGACAAACTGCCAGAAACAGATATTAGATTATATTGATTTGGGGTCAGATAAGTATGGCAATTATTTTTAACACAGCCAGCAGTGACAAACTGCCAGAAACAGATATTAGATTATATTGATTTGGGGTCGGATAAGTATGGCTATATTATGGCTATATAGCTATATCCGTTATATATGGCTATGACGGATAAGTTCCTATATTACTCCTTCTGTCTGAATAGTCTCTGTCCTCTTTAGAAGAGTGTATTTCTCCTCTCAACACAGGTATTTTGTACACTTGTGTCATTTCACATCATTTTTATTTTGCAAATAACTTGGGAGACCTGTTATCCATAACATGGCATGATATTTCCATTTCAGTAGATCTAGCACATTCTTGGCACTCAAAATGTATGAACCACATAGATCAAACACTATCAGAGGTCCACATAAGTTTACCAATCATTCATGGGTCACATTGGGGCAATTATTCACAGAAAGAGAATCTGCCAGTTTCCACCAAAAAGGAATAAATTTGCATATTCTTCCCCACCTAAGGAAATTCATGCAAATACAGAGACTCTTTAGCAAACATGCAAAACCCCCAAAACTCAACAGTGCAGTCAGTCAACCCATGCAGAAAACTGTGTAGGAAAGAAGTGACCATATGGGATCCTCTTCTGCTGCTTGAAACAAGTAAGCAGCTTTTGCCAAAGGAACAAGTACATGACTCTCTCTACAGTGCTTAGCAAAGGGAATTATGATGAGTCAGCTGCCATTTCTTTCCTAAAGCGAGATTTGGCACAGGATTTCTTTTATTTGATCCTCTTTTGAACTCAGATTGAAATGAGAAAGTCAATATTTTCTCAAAGTGCAAAAAGTCAAACCAAGTTATCAGCTCTTGCTTTTTTGTTTTACACAGTTTTGACCTTTTAAAAGTTTGACCTTTTGACTTTAAGCCAATCTTCTTTGTCCACTCTTCTCACCTAACAAAGCAATTTGATGACACATTTCAAGCACTTCTACAAGTCATTTTCACTGCAGGGATACTTTTCTCAAATTTAACAATGAAATAATCTGCTGCCTGTGATTGCTTTTTAAAAAAAAAGTCTTTAATCACTCAAATCCAAACAATCTTTTTCTTTAAACTGATACATTCTGCTTAGTACACCTGCAGCTAATAGGGTTACAAGGTATGCAAGCAGGAGAGCATATTTCTCCTGATTTACATTTAAAAAATGTTAAAATGAAACTACCTCTGGCCTGCATTCACTATTGAAAAAAATGAAGAATCCACCCCATTCCCTCTTTTAACATTGCCAGAGGCAGAAGGATAGGTCCAGTGGACAAAGATGGTGATGCATCAGGGCAGGGAGGCACGCAGGGGAATGATAAAGGAGCAAGCAACCAAACAGATCCCGAGGTCACCTGGGAAGCTGGTGTTACCAACAGGGCTGGACCTCGTGGAACATTTGAGGCAGGAGATGGCTGAGCTGGTGGTGCTGGGGTAACAATGGGGGGAGGCGGTGGCGGCGGAGGCGGCGGCGCGCGCTGTTTGGGTTTGTCAACTTCATCTAAGTTGATGTCATCGAGATCCGTGGTGTGCAGCTGCAGGCCCCCGGCAAAGCGCCGCATCGAGGTGGCAGAGGGAGGGGCAGAAGGACGCCCACTCACAGGCTATGGGTGACAGAGCAGAAACTGCCTCAACACTTCCAAAGAATGGGCAGCCCTAGAACACCACTCAGCCCAACTGCTCCTCCACAGGAAGGTCTTTGCTTCTCCCACACAGAATATACACAAATGTTTTCGTCTCTGAAAGCCTGTCCAAAAGCACTCCTTGGGATTCCAGTTTGAAAAGAAAAATGGGAGTGGTGTGACAGCAGCTACTGGGGTAAGGGGGTGGACAAAATAAACTCCACAAAACCCCAGTGGCATGAAGCATGAAGTTTTCAGTTTCCTCCTTCCTTACGAGGAGGAAGCAAGAATTACTCCTCACAAAGGTGGTTATTTGAAGGAAAATAATCAAAGACAGGCCTTGAGATTCTATGCTGTTAAAAAAGGGAAAGGGGTTAAAGTTGTGTAAACATAACCACACATGAGTACAAGAAAGGAAACTAAGCTTGAGCAGCTATGAAAACAAAAATTTAATGTGCTATTAAATTCAGAACCTCAAGGGGCTTGAGATAATTTATGTTAATCCACAAGGGGCTTGAAATCTTATAATTTATATTAATCCACACCAGATCTAGTGGGGTACTAAACTTCAGAATGCAATGAGCAGCTCATCCAAAAAAATAAGGATGACTGGGAGATTAGAGTCTACATATGCTTAACATTTCTTTTATCAGTGATCCAGCTGAAGTATCTGAGAAAATTCAGTCATTTTGCTATTTTGTAGACTCAGCTGAGGAAACCTTACATAGATAAGCTGTCTGACAGACACATTCATCTTACTCTAACATGGCAACATGTCCCTCAATTGGATAACACTTTTCACATTCTTCTTATCTAACATGCTCACCTCTTTGTGTTGAAAAATTGCTATTTGTTTGGCAGAGGACATCTCGACTGCTCTTGTTCCCAAGAAACAGCTCCAACCTGTAGTACCTGAATACCTTTCAGCTGCATTATTTACTCCTCAGGAGCATTCAGGTTTTGTGTTTTACATGTTTTAACTGCTTGGGTAGGTTTGTAGACGTAATGGAAAAATTGATGGAACAAACACAACAGAGTGTGGGTCTTAAATCCAGACCCTTAAATTCAGGTTGAGCTCTGAAAATACAACAGTGTTTGTAATTTTCCTTCTTACTTTACAAAGGGGGACAAAGTTCTAGCAGAACACAGGCTGCCAAGTTTGGATAGTGAGAGAAAACCTCTGCATAATCATTCCACTAAAGACCTGCACTGAAAAACCACATGGATCTGAGCCTAGGGCCATGAGGAACAAAAGATCAGCTGCTTTTTTCAGAGCTGCTCCAGCTGACCTGAAGGAAAATCATGCAAGAGCATTCCCCAAGGACCCTTTTGTGGTTGCAGTTTCTCGGGGATCCCATGGGAGCTCAGTAGATTGCAGCATTCCTCTTGGAAGTGGCTTTCCTTGGAAGACAGCCAGAGCAACGGGATGGTGGGAAAGCCTCACTGCACATCTAGAACCATCAGGCTCCAAGGAACAATCACTTTCTGCAGCTCCCCTGATTAAAGGGGACTACTTAAAGCACAAGCCCAAACCCTAGTCCTTGTGAGTTTCGTATCTTTTTGTAATTTTCTTATCCTGTTCCTTTATTTCACACAATACAACAAAGCTTCCAAGAGCTCATCATCAATGATCTTGTATTCACATGATACTAATAAATATAGCTGGATCTAGCTTTTGTTACTGGCAGCATGTCCCACCTAGCCCAAATATTTCATAAAACTGTTAATTTAGTGGTGATAATAGAGTTATATAGGACAATATACAATCAGTTCATTAAAATAATGTTTAAATTGCCATGAACTGTAGGAAAAACAAATTCTATAGATTGTAAGTCATCAATTATTGACTTTTTCCCCTGTCTCTGAGAATGGACTGATGTGGGAAAGACAAAGACAGATTTTTTCACCTGTTGCTTTTAGGAGACAATTTTCATTTATGTAGACATCATGCAATATATGGAAAAGCTATAATTTTACCTCAGGAGACTCATTCTCCACAGAGGAGATCTGTTCTAATCGTGTTTGACAAAGTCTTTCCACCCAGTGCTGCACCTTTTCTGATTCTTCCAGGTCTTCTCGTTCTGTCTCAGATACCTTGACCATAACATTGGTGCATTAGAAAAGGTTATAGGTATGGTCATAAGACAAATATATTTCAAAAGTATGAAATGCCACCTAAGATAGTTTTTAAAATAATAATGATAATTTTAAGGATTCCTTATTTTGCTGTTTTTCAGTAAATTCATCACTACACATGGACACAACTGCAGAGATACCCTTGTTTAAGCAAAAGCTGAGCAGAAATAAGAAAATGTGGCAACAGCATTTTGCAGTAAAACAGTTTTTAAAATTTCATTATCTTTGAAATAATTAAACAAATGTCCTGCTATGATAATTCCACTAAAAATCCATCTAATTTTCTTTCAATATAGCTTTGCACTTGATAAATCACAACATACCTCTTGCACAAGACGATTTATTTTCAATTGTTTTTCTTTCTCCAGCATTCCTTCTTTCTCCTTGGCAAGTTTTTGCTCAAACTCCATTTCCTTTTTATTCTTCTTCTGTTCACAAAAACTATCACTTTTTGACTTCTTTCTTTCTTTCCCCTTCTGGGAAGGTTTTGTGACAAAAATTTTTACATCACTAAAACCACCACGAACTGTGATCTTGTTACATGAGTGTCTGCCTTGAAAAATTAATTACAGTCTATGCAAGTATGGAGATGGTTTTTTAAAAGAAAATCCAAAGTTCACTTACACAGAAATTTGCAGGAAAGTAAACTTTGGAGGGCTTGTGCCCCACTAACATAAGCTGGATGAGATAAGAGAATTCAACTTTTTTGTTCCTCTGCAAAGTTACAACTTTAGGGCACACAGGCCCATTACAAAAGTGCATATTCAGACAGTTCTGGTTGGGTCTTGATTTTCCATCTCTCTTGTTTTGGCATTTATGTATAAATATATGAACGATTACTTTCAGGTGACAGATGCTCATGTATAGGTAGATGTGCATAGTCCATGCATACAACAGCTTCATGCATATGCCCTAGAATAATTATTGCATCCCCTAATAAAACTGAAATAAGGAATTACAAAGGAAAGGTTTAGATCAGTGTAGAAAGTGAGTTGCTTCCAAGAAGGAACAGTGCATCGCAAAGACCATGCAGCTCCTACAAACACTGAGTAAAATCTGCTCAGATGAGTTAAATAATACAGCACAAAGTGACTCTAAAATTTTGGATGTAGGATACAAACAAGGGGAAAAGCTACATAGTCTTTTGGAAGCCTCTGTTTCCGTTGTCTTCAAAACACACACTGCTCCTTATTTCTTCCTTAGTGATGTCACATTTTCTGCTACCCTTTCACATTTGCACAGGTAGGACTTGGTTCATTTTGCAAATGCCATGTTCTCCTTTTATTTATGAAAAGTAAAACAGAGGAGCAGGTGAGCACTTATTGACAATTACTTCCCCAGCCAGAAAGGGTGTGCTTCAGGTTTGATTTTCTGCTTTCCCATCATCATCAGCTATTGACTTTTCTTGCTTTGAATTCCCAAAACCACCACGAACTGCTTCACATTAAATTGCATTGTTTGTCTTCCTTTCACTTTTTGCACGTTAATATTGATAACAAAGCCTTGGAGAACAGACATTTTCCCTGGCAGCTACAGAAGCCAATTCCCCCAGTCAAGCAGTTAACTGAACTTTGTACTGCTGAGTTCAGTGGGATGTGGTCTATTGCTTCATGGTTACGTGGTGATGGTGTTTTAGGGAGGGGAGCAGGGGGAAAAGGAGCCCCAAAAACATTGGAGATAAAGCTTAACTAAAAAAATCTAGATTTTCACACTTATGTTTTAACATAAGCCTAATTCTGTGGTCTGTTTTATTCAGGGCTAATTAGTTTTCACCTTAACAACAATTGCCAGTATCATCCTCTTAAAAATTCAAAGATACATTTAATACTGTCTGCTAGATTAACATCAGGCAGGTCAACTTGCTAGGTATCAACATTTGAAGAACCACCAAATTCAAAGGCACTCTAGGCAGTACAAAAGCCAAAGTCTTCTAGAACATGAACATATATCTGACTGTCTTAGCTGAACTCGCAACATTCAGATACAACAGGATGATTCATCCTTTCCTACAATTTTCCCCATGGATTCAGTTTACTTCCTATTATAGATATTTTTAGTACAGAGTGAAATTTTGGTTTTGAAACAAACAAAAAATCATTAGCAATAGGGAGTAGGATAAAAATTCATCACTGCCAAAAGCAAATGATTAAAAATAAAACTTTTCAAGTTTCCAGTGCACACAGTATGGTAAAGTTCAACAGGAATTGTGTTAAGATCATTAGTATATGAAGAGGTATTTGGGCATTCTCTGAACTACAGTTGTCAGCAGCAACACAAAATTTACCCTCTTTGTGTGAAGAGTTTCCACAGTATACATCTATAATTTTCAGATAAAAATCCTAACTGCCCTGGCTTTCACACAGGTTACAGATCCATGATGATTTAGCACTAGCAGTACAAAAAGCTATTGGAATGCACCATCTTCTCCTAATCTGTTTTAAGGGGAACAGGTATATCCTGGGCACACAGAAGGTCAAAGCAATAGTCCTAAACAGTGACAGAGATACTTCATCTGTCAGAAACAATCCTGACCTCCTCCGAATCCTTGAGTTCTTGCCAGATACACACACCAAATCTTCATGACACTTTTATCACAGTTAGTTACCAAAAACCCACCCACTAAAGCACACAACACAACAGCAATCCCCCTATAACATGGCTAATATACATAAATTGCAAGAAATAAAGAGAAGGAAGCAACAGCAAGTATAAAATATTATTTGAAACTCTCATAAATTGAAATTGCAATACTTCAGCAGTATTCTGTACAGAAGTATTCTATCAGCTTAAAGATTGTTAACTTTTTTTTTTTTTTGCTGATATCTATATGCCTAAAAGCGTCTTTTTAATTTTTTTTTTTTTTTTTTTGCTGATATGTATATGCCTAAAAGCCTTTTGCCTTCAGCACTCCTCTTACAGGGAGATTTGCAAAGCTATAATCAGATAATTTTTGTCTCTACTGTTTTTATATACACGATTGGAGAACATGAGGACATGCACTGCCCACCTGTAATGAAAACCTGCCAAGTATTGTTATACAATTCCCTCTGCCCATGGCAGAACCCAGAGCCTGAAGGACCAAGTCCTAGACACATGCATCCCAAAGGCATCTTAATTTGTACACACGCTAAAAGAAGGAACATTTTACTATAAAGAATGTTTACTAATAACAGAGAAGAAGAAAAATGAGGAATTCCAATTCAAACACACACACAGCAAACAAATTCACATTTCAAACTTGGTACCTTACGAATTGTGGGAAATTTCCCTTCATACCGATAAAACCATCCAAAAGCTACAAAAGGTAAAGGAAAAATTGTTTTTTGAAGAAAAACCAAGGACAGGCTCATACTTAGACCTATCAACGCTGATATGTGTAACTGATTAAAATTTATTTGAAGGCGCAACACCAGAGGTTTGATATTACTTACAAGTTCTTGGCTAAATTATTGATAAATGGTTCTAGAACATGTAGTCATAGGCATCCCTTATTTTAATGATACATATTTTATGCCAAACAAAGAAAATGCAACAAGTAATCTTCATACAGCACCACACAGGCATTGCATTGCTAAGATTTCTATGGTCACGGCCCTACTTTAGAGTAGTTTTAGCAAGCCTTGTGAAAATTAAACAGGTGTGCAAACTCATTCAAGCTTGTGGCATAACATGGCTTTTGAGGAGACATGAAAAGCTCCATTTCCCAGGACAAAATATTTCAAGCCAAGTGCATAAGTATTATAACATATATCACTGAGTAAAAACATACAAAAGAATGTATGAGCATAACTTTATATAAGAAACACTTTTCTGTAGAGTTGTTAGATTTCATATCAAGATATCTTTAGATGCAGTGACAGCAGCAGTGTCAAAATCTTTCATAATTTACTAAAGGACCATGTATATTGCCCTAGGAAAACTAAATGGTCAGCTGAATGTCAGGACTGATTGTCAGGAGGAGGTGAGACACAGGAAGAATCTGAATCAGGATAGGAAGTTAGAGCTGAGTGGCAAACCTGTTTGTCCTGCTTCACGTTCACTTCATCCATGTCATCTGTTTCAAGTGGGTCATGTGCAACTCCCTTTAAATCTTCTAGAGAAACAAAGGAGGAAAGGGGTGAGGGGACAGAAGTGACAGTAACTGGGGGTTCCCATGAAATGAAAAAGAAAGCAGTAATGTGTGACTAGAAGTTTCCATGAAACAAAAAAACGTAGTTAGTGATGGGAAGTTTTTCTAAAGAATTGTTCAAAAAAAAAGGCCCTACTTAATCTCCAACCTCCTCCAGTCCTGAAGAGCTGTTAGAATCTACATGTGGACAACTGGTCTGCTATGTAGTGAAGGGAAGCCTGAGGAGTTCGGTGGCTTTTCCTGTAACAGAACCATCAGCAGACTTCCCCAAAGTCACACACAAAAATAATATAATAAAATAATACCAGGTTAGGAATCAGCCCAGGTCTCCTATAAATTATGGAACAAGAGCTTTCCACATTTTTCTTTTGCAATACAATTTTAGTACACTCTCCACATGCAATTTGCAGCTTCCAATTTAGCTTCTTAACTGCCAGCTAAGCGCCAACTCTCTTAGTTCCCTTTGGAAAGTAATTCAGAAATCCAGCAGCATCCTGGGCTGCATCAAGAGCAGCATGGGCAGCAGGGCAAGGGAGGGAGTTCTGCCCCTCTGCTCTGCTTCCATGAGACCCCTCCTGGAGTGCTACATCCAGCTCTGGGGCTCCTAATATAAGATGGATGTAGATGTGTTGGAATGGGTCCAGCAGAGGGCCATGAAGATGATCAGAGGGCTGGAGCACTTCTGCTATGAGGAAAGGCTGAGGGAGTTAAGGCTTCAGCCGCGAGAAGAGAAGGCTGTTGGAAGACCTTAGATCAGTCTTTCTGTACCTAAAAGGGGCCATCAGAAAATTGGAAAGTAACTTTTTAAAAGGGCATGTAGTGACAGGACACAGGAGAATGGCTTTAAACTAAAAGTGGATAGATTTATATTAGATACTAGGAAGAAATTCTTTACTGTGAGGCACTGGAACAGATTTCCCAGGGTAGGTGGTGGATGTCCTGTGCCTGGCAGCGTTCAAGGCCAGGTTGGATGGGGCTCTGAGCAACCTGGTCTAGTGGAAGGTGTCCCTACCCATGGCAGGGGGGTGGAACAAGGTGATCTTTAAGATCCATTCCAAGTCAAACTGTGATATGGTTGACAGATAAACACTGAACAGAAACAACATGCAAAACAATGCACCAAATTCCCAATGTTGATGCTTGATACTATTTCTTACTAAACCTTACTATTTTATTTTTCCTGCTGCTGATTGTTGAAAACAATGACTATTTGAATGGATGTAGATTTTGCAAGATAGGTACCTGTTAAGTAAAAGTCATTTAATAGATTTATCATATGTCTCCAGCCTTCTGAAAATAATCAGTTCATAGCTAGCTTAATTTGGAGACAAACTAGTGGTATATTCCATAGAACTCAGTGATGTGTCTGAGACAAATAGAAGGAGGCAATTTGACATCAATTACTTACTTTTGTGTTTGGAACGAGGGGCAGAGTGCACTTCTGCAGTTACAGTTTTTAGAGACTTGGGTGGTTCTTTAGGACCCCAGTCTTCTTCCCACTCCTTTTTAAATTTCTCTTCCTCTGCTGTTATCCTAGAGGAAACAAATGCAGTTAGACATTCTGAGTACAAAACAGTATATATTCATTACCATTATAATTTTCCAGCATATCTGGTTTTTTCTCCTGAATATAAAACATAATAAACTGCATCTTCTTCATAACTGAATTCCTTTCATCAATTTGTTTCACTTACTAAGCTACTAAGATAATTTGCAAAATATAGCATAAGATATTCTTATTTAATATTTAGAATTCTGAGGCCTATTATATAAACACCTGCACAGATACTAAGCCATGAGTGACTCACTATAGTACTGACACTCACCTTAAAGGAAATAAAAAAAATCTCTCATTTAGCAATTTTTCATTTTTATAATGGGAATTACTTACTAGAAAAACTGAAACACTGAGGGACAGAATATCTATCATACACCTAAATCAGGTGTCACAATGGCAAATTATACCTAAAAAATATGTGACTCCTCTACCTTTAAATCTATTTTGATGATTGCCTCCTAAACACATAGTTCTAGGTTGCCATAAAAAGTGAGTCTTCCCCAAAAGAGAGGAATACTGTTGAAATGGAAACCATATTAAATTCTGCATTCTAGGAAAAAAAATAAAAAAAGAGAGGAGAGAGGAATAGACAGGTACGGATAGAGAATGTGGGTGGTGCAGAGAGTGTCACAACTCAGGAAAACAGCATGCAACAGAAGTAAATTACCTAGTATGGAACCTTGATCAGAGAAAAAAAGATGTTTCAAACAAAAATTCAGCAAATACCAACTATGTCACAGCAGAAGTGCTGAATAACCTAACAATATGTAGCTTCATATATGTTGTCTTAAATGATCCAAGATCTATTCTTGACTATACCTTGCCTTGAACTGATAATGTGGTGCCAAAATTTACCAGGTCTTAGATATATATGATGCTATTTATATTTGGATTATCTTTTGCATCTCTAAATTAGCTAAAGTAAATTGAAAAAATATTCACATGGAGTCAAAACACTCTTAAATCTGTAGCTGAGCTCACTATTTAAATTTAGAGGCATTGTCAGGGAACAATGGACAAAATTTTTTTTCATTTAATTTTAGTTTTAAAAAGTTGGAGTTACAATGTAACATGCAGTACATAGTTAGTGACATTTGCCATTTAGGCACATACGAAATATTTTCAAACGTAAGATACCAAAAAAGGGCACAGTGACTTTATACAAGGAGCTCCTGCAGAAAGGATTCTTAAAAGAAGGCACGGCATGATACTCACAAACAATTAATACAGAAAAATATTGTATTTTAGCCTGCCACACCTGCTCATTAAATCTCAGCTTTAGATTTCATCTAGGTTCCTCTACTACCATTCTCCCTCTTCCTCACCCAGGAGATTGAAACCAAGTTAACAGTTTGGATTGTGATATGGAAAAGCTTAAAAATGTCTGAGCAACACTTAAAAATTATACAAGGAAGTATAAAGCTGTGCTAGACTTTACAATGTGCAGCCCTCAGGGCATGAGAGCCCTCCCTGAGTGAGTAAAGATGCTCTTAGTGCAGAACAACACAGCAGACATCCAACATCCGTTATAAGAGACAGGCAATCTAGATTTGGAGAACAGAACCATCCTTCACCTGTGATGGTCTGCTTTTATGGCAGCTTTTGGCTATTGCAGGAATTTCTATATAGGCCACAAATAAAGAACAGGATGTTACCAACTCCCTGGGATCCGAAAAGGGAAATGCATAACAATTCATCCATGTGCTGTTGTAGAGCCCCCAGCAGGACTGCCAGAAGATTTTTCTCTTGTGACAGCTGGGGAATATATTTCTTTATGCACCTTACAAATTCAGAAATCCCTGCTCTTTTTCTATCAGAAAATTTTAGCTAATACAGATACATAAAAAGAGACTTAAATGAATTAAATTAATTAAAACCCCTTAATATGGCAAAGGGGCAAATCCAAAGACTTGAGGGTCAGTTCTAGCCCTAAAAGGCTGAATCAAAACAGATATTATTCTGCAATTTGCATTTTCATGCAATTTCTTGGCATCATTTAGAAGTGAAGTTAATTACTGTGATAACAACTGGTTAATTTCAAACTTGCAAATGTAAAAGAATGCCGAAGTTAAAAATATATGATCTGTTTCTTAGCAGTACTGCTTTTTTTCTCTTAGAATTAAATGTAGTGTTTCAGTGATAACAGAGTAAACAAGTTCTGGGACATGGAATTTTCTTAAGTTTCTCTATATATTAATAATACCTTTAAAATAAGTGCTCAATTTCAACTTCACACTGAATTTACTATTGCCTCATGTTTATTTATAATCCTAATGTTTACAGGTGCTGATTTTCAGATCAGTTTCCTATTCTTTAACTGTGGTGTACTTACTGATATGTACTGGATCCTACCTTTAGCTAAATGGAAATACTACACAATTTTATTTGAAAGCAATATGCAGAATGTTTTCAGCCAGATCTCATCTAATACACAAAGAACCCTTTTCCAGGTGGCACAGTGCCTGTGTAAGGTTTTTACTCACTGCTCTATTTCTCTGCGATATCTCTCTTCTTCCTCTGCAGCCTTCTGGGAAATCTCCAGCTTTCTTCTATAATAAGTGGAATTAGGACAACATGATAAAAATAGTATTTTCTGAGAAAGAACCTTAGCAAAGTGTGTCAGCATATAGTTAGTTAAAGTTAAAAACAGTAAATACATTTGTATTGGGGGAAAATGCCCTGTTTTAAAAGTCATCTTTAAGATACCAAAGTATGGTTTGCTAGGAACCTTGAGGACATTCCTGACCATCTGGATAACAAGGGCATATAATCTACTTAATTCTTTAAATTAAGTCTTCTGAGGCAAGACTATAGTGTGTTTTTGTATGAGTATAGAGTTTTGAACTGTCCAGCTAAAAATAAAGCATGAGTGAATAGCATCAGGAAAATTATGAATATCACACTGAATCATGGGTTATGACAGTCAGGGAGCAGAGTGACCCTTCTGCTCAAGATGGCTTTCAATACTATCAGCTCTGAAAACCCAGAATATCAAGAGCATCATAGGACAAACATTTTATGAACAGAGACTCTGCAAAAGCAAAACAAAGTTAATCTAAGTTGAGAATCTTCTCATTTCTGTGAGAAATATCACAGAAGTAATTATATGCTCCTGTTTTCCATGCCCTGTCCAAACCCAAGCTAAATTTTTTCAGGCTGTCCTATAGAGAGTTCTCACAATCTCTCTTTCTCTTGCTGCTCTTTGATGATTTTGTTGGTCTCCAGTGCAAGCCGCTTCTGATGCATTAACTCCTGGCGTTCCTGCTCACGGAGACGTGCTTCTCTTTGCCTTTCTTCTTCAGTCATGAACAGCTCCTTGCCCTGCAATCAGAACCACCACTCCATCAGTTGGGAAAATATCTAATGAATGCAGTTCTTCTAGGAGATAATTCAAACCCAATTACATAGCAGCACATCTGTGGATGCTGACAGTGTGGTCAGAGAGAAAGTCAGATAAACTTTCCCAGGCGTTACTCTGGGAGAGCTTGAGAAAGTTTATCTGACTTTCTCTCTGACCAGACTGTCAGCATCCACAGCACACCTGCCATTTCCTCACACTACTCTTCCTGAGGAACACACCCTGGAAGATCCTCAAAGACCTGACTGCTTACTCCAAGGAGCTATTCTAGTTTCAGCCTCTCAGTTACTATGTACCAAACAACTCAAGCAAGGTTTGCAACTACTGAAGTCAACAACCATACCACAGTGGTCACACCAAATACATGCTCAGTGTGTCATCCAGAAAAAAATTCACATTATACTTTCTTGAAATCTCACTGAGCAATGAAATGCCAGAGAACAGAACACTGAATGATTCCCAATGTGAAGACAACTACACAGTTACTGTGTTTTCATGCTCTTATGCCTGGCTGCTGCAGAAACGTGTTATCATTCAGGAACCCAAATACAGGACATGTACATCCCCAAAACACTGTAGAGTTTATGTATTTCGGTTTGTTCAGTTTATGTGTTTCAGTTGGTTCCTGTTTCATTTGCTTTACTATTAAGGCACTAGCACTATTTCCTGTTCAAGAAAGGTATTTCCATACTGCTATAGGTAGAACACTTTGATAACACTAATCTAATTTTCATTTCTGAAATTAAAATCCCATGTTAATTAGGAATGTAGCATTTTTCCTATCTCTAACGACCCAATTAGACATCTTGAACAAAACCAGGCATTGAGGAATGTCTTTGCACCATAGTAGAGAAACTGTTTTCCTATGCTATCTGTTCTCCAGTCAAAGATGTCTATTGAGAAGATGATGCAAGGTGAAGGAGTGAGGAACAGAGGAGTTCCATAGCAACAATTTGCCATTTTAAGGACACCACCCCAGTGATACATGCCGAGGTAGAACTCATATTTTTAAAGTTGTTAACATAACTGGGAGTTGAAACTAAGTCCTGAGGATGTTGAATTCCTGGAGCTTAATCAACTAGCCCAGAGTATTTGTTTAAAAAATCTCCACGGTGCCTTTGGACAACTTCATCTTTTGTTACCATAAGAGTAGATCAAATAAACTACTAATTCCTTAATGTAGCTACACACAGTATACATGAGCCCTTAGGAAGTAGCTGAAGTGACTTACTAAATCTTTTTTTTCCCCCTATTTAATTCAGTTGCAGGGCAGTTAGAAAACACTGTCTTTGATTAGTCTATGGAACTTGATTATCTTCTTGTATACAACTACACACTTTCTTTAAGACTAATTAAAGCAATAAAAACATTAAAAATTTATTGTAAGTCACACTGAAGTCAGAGGAAAGATTTAATTAATTTCAGCTGGCTTTAGATTAGACCCCAAAGGCTTATAGTTCTGTTGCACAGAACTGTGAAAATGAAAAATTGAGCAATTTTCAGTGTGTCAATACACTAATGAGATCAGATAAACAGTTACAAAAGGAACTCATTTGGAATAAGACTAAGGCATCAGGATTAAAAATTATTTGTTTCCAATCCAATTCACCTTTCATGTTTCAGCAGAAGCAGATATCTATTAGAACAGAAGCTCTCACACATGAGAGACCATTACAATGAAGTTAATTTCCATTCCTTGTCAAGGAAATGATTTTGCATTGGCTCACATTCATGTTTTATTTGACAATACTTGGTGTGTTATGAAAGAATAACATGCCACTCAAAACTGTCCTGGTTTGACAGAGGTATAGATGTTGTACAGAAACACAGCTTTTGTTTTTATCCATTTATTTTCACCATTTATTTACTTACACAGCAATTTTTGCTTGCAAATGTTCTGCTTTTACAAATACACTACTTACAGCGCCTGCTACCACAGAGATAGTCAAAGTACGGCTACTCTTGAGCACTCTGACAGCCTGCAAATTAAAACAAAACAATAATCAGTGTGAAAGAAGTGATAAAAGGCCAGCATAATGCTAGTTACCAAGGCTGGAATTTCCAGAACTAAATAGAGTGGTAGGTATGCAAATATCCAAAATCCCATGTTCAATACACAAAGCCTTGAGTCAGTAGCCAAGTATTAAAACATATTTTTTTGGACAGGAAAACAGGACAGATGTCTAATAAGCTGACAACTACAAAACCAGGGAATTAAGACTTGCTTTTACCTCTTTATGATCCACATTAGAAAAGTCCACTCCATTCACCTCAACAATCTGATCACCAACCTAAAGGAATTAATGCAAATTTTAGTACAGATGCTAAGTTAGTACATATATTCAATGAAAACAGAAAGAGATGTGCTCTCTAACGCCCTTCACCCAACAATCATGGGGACTGGCAGAGTGGAAGGGGAACAGACTGGAAACTGGTCAGGCTTGCACATACTCCTACACTGGGATCTGCTATTGCCACTGCTTGGGATCAAATCCTCAGCTTGAAGGAGTGTTGGTCCGACTCAGGTCAGTCATGTTCTTAAAATTTTAGAAAACTAGCTTTGTTTGAAATGTAATCACCAGATATTTCTTTCCCATGGGGAAAAAAATCACTCCCAGGAATCCTTGGAGTTTTCAATACAAAACAAGAATTCCTTTTGGTACCTACCTTGGAAGGTGGCAAACTTACCTCCAAGCCCACCTCTGCTGAAAGAGAACCTGGCTTAACATTGCTGATAAAAATGCCTGGTTTTTGTGTTGGACCACTGGAAATACTGGAAATGTAAAAAATCCCAAACATTAATTGGATAATATTTATAGAATAATATTTATGAGGAATATAGTGTAATACAGTGAGTAATTTTAGTTGTTTCTTCATAATTTTTTTTTGCTGAAAGAATATTTATGGTAGTAGCCAATTCTGAAACAAACACCAAAACTTACCAGTACTCACACAATTGTTTATCATCCTATTTTCCTATTCTCTACCCCACAGAACTGGTTTAAAAGAAAAACCTAAAAGAAAAATACTCAAGATTCTGTATTTTGCCTTACATGCTGAAACTTATATGTATGCTGACCTACACTGTCTAAAGGATTGGGATACTAATGATATTTGAAAGTGAGCAACTAACACAATGAAGAATTACCAATTGCACTGAACTGCAAGATCTTGTATGTATAAAACACTGTTATTTTGTTAGGATTATTTATTAGGAGCAAGAAGCAAGTTTCATCCAGAGGCCTAAATCTAGCTCAGGAACTTTAAGCTGCCATCTAAGCTGGGCCTAGATACAAAGACTACTTTTGTAGATTATATATTCAACAAGTGATGCTGAGCCACCCCTCAAGGTTGGTAAATAATTAAAAAAAAAACTTTACATCCTCCAAATTAAAGGAGAAAAAAGGCCTGACAATTAGAACTACATATTTCTAAATATATAATAAATCCTACGATATCCCTTCTACTCCAAAACCTCCCTAAGTATTGCAACGATAGGAGTCCAAGAATCCCAGAATCATATTTCTAAAAAGCCTTGCAAATTCAAGATTAATTTTAGGAACTGGATGTAGCTTTGTGATGTGTTTTAGTTCTGAAAAGGGTCAGAGAAGGCAGAGAGCAAACCTGACAGTGGACAGTGCTGGAATTTGCTATATCACTGAGCAGCACTTTTAAGTATTTAAAAATGCAAAAGCATTTAAAAGATCCAATTCCATGACAAGTTGTACTAAGGCACTTTCAGTCTGCTCTTATTTTTAAATTTTAAAGTTTTTTTCTTCATGACAGAACTTTTAACACTGGTACTTAACGCTTTGCCTAAAAAAATGTAACATGTGCCATAGATATCCTGCTGTTACAGTCTGCCTTCCTGATCCAGCATGGATCTTTATTTTCCTGACATCATATCCAAGAAGGATGGAAATAACTGCCTTGAGTGTCACCTTTAGAAATCAGTGACCTTAAATAAAAAAACGTGTACCCACCTGCATCCCATACCTTTTGTGCCAATCAAACTAATGAAGACTTTCTTCTCTTTGTTGTCTCTCCCTCCAGAAGAGGCAAGTCCAGCAACACTGCCCTTTCCTTCCTGTAGAGGGATTGAACAATGCTGCAGATGTTAATTCTGTCTTGAATTCATATCAAGACTACTATAAAATTTCATGTAGCCAGGATGAATCCCAGCCAGCATTAAGATAAGATTCAAGGTCCTATTCAAGGCTCCAAGTTCCTATCCTACTGGAAATGAATGTAAGGTAATTTCAGTGGAGCTGCATGGCTGAAGTGAAAGACTGAACTTATCTGTTTGCAGAGGATTACTTAAATAGTCAAATTTTGTCTTCAGAAAAGAGTGGAGGAAAATTAGAGGAAAGTGATATGGAAAAATAATAATTTTGATTATTGTTCCCTGACAAAAGGGCTGGAGAAACACATGATAAGGCTCACTATTTAAATAAGTCTTTCTTCCTGAAAGCAAAAGAACAGTAATTGTGGTGTTTCTTTTCACTTCTGCAACCCTTAGAAGTCACTTGCATTCAAAGTTGTAATTCCTCCACTAATATGCCTAAAATAGGCCAAATAATCTGATAAAGATTTAACCAGTAGAACTACAGCCTGGGAAGTTAATATGCTCAAGCAAAAGGAAGAAGCCATTAATGAGTAAAAGCTATTTCATTTGTGTCCTGCCCTTTCTTTACCTAATAGCTCTAGAATAATTTCACATCACAAAAGATATTCCTCACAGAATACTTTCAACAAGATATTGCATTATAGTAATACATACAAATAGCTTCTCTGATAAGGTCAGAGGAGAAAGTGTTTCAGAACCATTACAGATTGCCCAGAAGACATTCAACAAAATATTGATCTCTTACCCCAGACTCTGACACAAACTGATCCACATATTGCCATTTAAGGGGTTCATCTGGTGAACTGAAAGGACAAAATAAGTCTAAATAATGGGACAAAATAAATGTCAATGTGTTCCAGAAGCTACTTTGGAATGGAGCCTTCTGTTTTGCCACATCTTTCTTTGGATACCATTCACATATGGTTTATTTTCCAGCAATTTAAACAGAATATTAAACAAGAGTACAATTATTTGGGCTAGTAAAAGTTGAATATAAAATTGATAAAGCCCTCTCAGGTGAAACAATTTTAGGAAACTCAGAGGAAGACTGTAAAACGAACCGTAACCACTCAAACATCTTACACAAAGTTCTGTGCAGAGCAACACTTCCTGTCATTAACATTTCTCAAACATTCCACCTCAAGATTAAGCTTTTCAACAAAAATTGGAAGACCAAAACAATTTTAAATTTTTCTAAACTGAAGCCATCATCAAATGCTACAAATTAGCAGTGGAGCTCTCTGCTAAGCTAGGTGCATTGATAATGAAATTTCCAGGAGATATCTGTGACAAATGAGGAAATATAAATTGGTTCATTTAAGTAGGCAACTGGTATAATATCAGATTCATCAAGCAAGACATCTGCTTGTTCATTAAAAAGGATGTGACATTTTAATCAGCATTCAAACATTTTCATAATTAAACACAGATTCTTTGGATAGAAGAGGCTGTGTGAAAATGAATCTGTTTTCAAATGAAAAGCTGTTACCTTTTGACAGGTATCATGCCAACATCTGAAAAAGAAAAATACTTTGTTAGGTTTCTGCAGACCACAAATAATCCATTAATAGCAATCATTGGCGATAGAGGTGATTTTTTGTCTTACTTACGTCTAACTTTTATGGACACAATTTTCTTTGTACGAATGAGGTTGATGACTTCTTCGTGCGTGCATGACGAAATGGAATATCCATTTATGCGCACTATCTCATCCCCAACCTCACAAACAGAAGGGAGAAAAAAATGTAATTGTGAGTTAATACTTTTGTAAGTTTTTAAGATTGAATACAATCTGGCAATCATTTTGGTGCAAAGGTTAGGTAATGTTGATTCATGAATACTTTCTGAATCTCAGGTAATGTCAGATCATACTTACCTGTATTTGCTTTGAATTAATATCAAACACCAAAAGAGCAAATTAATGGCCAAATAACAATTTTATAAATACTGTCTGCTATACATCAGATTTGTACTCCACAGATTACCTTAAAAACAAGAGTCTGTTTTAATTAAAATAATTTTGGAATTATTTTCTTCTTCTATACTTCAGAAGTTAAAGTTTGCTTTTACCATATGTTTTCTGAGATACCATCCTTAATGTATTTGATCAATAGGAAACTATACTTAGTCTTATCTTGCCTGATCTTGGACGGAGAAAATACATTATTTTAAGGGATTTTACCTCTTTGTCTTTGTTTGGGGACCCTGCTAACATTTATTGGCAATCCAATGACAGCATCCCAAGGACATACCCTGGCAGTATTCAATTCAGTAGTGCAGAACACACAAGGTGCTTTCAGCCACTTCTATAAAATTTCAAATCTTATTTATCAAAGTACAACCAAAAAATTTATCTTCCTCTAATATAAATGCAAATTTGATATGCTATGATGATTAGAGAGAATTTTCCAAGTTTGTATAGACTCTGCCCAATGATCCTCCTACCTAGCTAGGCTGAGAAGGAATCAGTGATGAAGACATTGCCTACTTCAGTTAAGGTAGTGCCTTATTATCTGCTCAAGATTACAATGAAAAATGCCAGGTCCTAGCTGGAGCACCATAAGCAAAGACTTTTACTTGATGTGAACCACATGATGTGGCTGTATGAAAATTAGTGAATGATTTCTTCCATTATCAATGCAGATCAATCCACTGCACAGTAAAATATACAAATGATTACCATGAAATTACCTTAACAAACCATCAGTGGTATCATCTTATATCTCTGATCTCCACATGGACAAAGCCAAATACTTTGGGTCCTTTCTAGTAGCATTTCCTCTGAACTACTGTGAATGTTTGTTACGTAAAATATATTTGATGAAACTTTTCTCATTAACACCAACAGCATGGGATATTGTTCTCAGTCAGTGAAACTTAAATGTGTCTGGTTTCATGGCAGCATTATGCCTAGTTAATGACTGCCTAAAATGTTCCATTTCAAGACTCAAGTGTCAAGCTTCCAAATTTCACTTTAGGCTTAAAGTTTTCCATGCTGGTATCTGCATTAGGCTGATTTCAAGTTTCAGCAAAGCTAAAGAAACAATATTTTTATTCAACAAAATTTAGGTGGAATTCATTATCAAGCTCATTTAAAAAAAAATCTTCACTTACTTTATGAGAGGCTCTGTGCTTTCATTTTACATGAGAGGACTGAGTGGAATTCAAAGTAGAAATTCCTCAATATATCCTGTATTCTACAGACTTAAACACACAGGGACACAACATTGGGTGACAGGACATTAGGCATGCTAATGCCTAACCTTCTGTCTTTTTTCATACTGTAATAATGCCTTGAATCTTCCTACTGTGATCTGGTGAATAAAAAAAAAAAAAAAAGAAAAAGCACTAACAAAAAACCCCATAAATGTATCTTCTTTATTTCTTTCACAAGCTTTTCTAATTCTTCTGGGCAGTGTCTCATGCTCTGCAACACTACACAAAACATTAACATGTGCACTATACCAGCGTTGCTCATGATCACACTTTCCACTGAAGCTGAGGATTTTTGTCTGACACAACACAGCATCAGAAGGGTACAAAAGCAAGGAAAACTGTCCTGCAGAATGGAGCACACTCGCAGAGGCAAAATAGGACTGTGGTCCCTAGCCCCTGACCAGTGGGACATCCACTCCCTCTGCTGGGCATCTAAAATAATCTCATCCAGGGCAATGGCCTGCACTCCTAAGAGCCTGACTGTCAGATCTTTAAAAGAATCTTTAGTAACAGTAGAAATAGGTCAGTAATGAAGGCTAGACATACAACCTGTGGTAAAAACACAGAATCAGACAAGAAGAGCAGATGAGGTCTGCATTTTATAGTTACATCCCTGATAGCTTTTGCTGTCACTCACTAACTTGTTCCAAATATTCAAGCCCACATCCATCCACCCTATCCATTTTCTGTTGATTTTACATGTGTGGCAAAGGGGAAGGGTGGGCTTTTTGTTTGGTTTTCTTTTAGTTCAAGATCCCCCTTTACTTACATCTTCCACATCATGCAGACTGTAACAGAGCATGGAGCTTGGGTTTGCACAAACCTGATTCTTCAAAAGAGTAACCTATCATGGTGTTATTGGCTGCAATGCCTTAACACACAGAAACTCCCAGTTTTAGGGCTGCAAAGGACAGTGCCATCCTGGGGCTTCTGTACCAGCAGAACTGACGTTGTTCTGAGGATGTCAGCATTCACTGAGTCAAATCTGTTCTCATCTCCCGAAGAGGCACTTCCAAAATTGTCTGTGCACACAAGAGCATATTTTCTTTTCCCTCCAGAATGGGAATGAGCTTTTCCCATACAGATATATTTAACACTCTCCTTTACTAGACTGTCATCTTATTTCTGAAACTCAACACTCTTCACTCAACCTAATGACATTTGTATCACTGACATTTGTATAATTGACAAATGTATCAATGACATTTGTAATGACTGAGGCTGCTTTACAAATAACCCAGTCCAGGCTGAAGTACAGATGTATAGGCATACAGCAAACTGGTTCTCTTTAGGATACTTGAACAGCTTTTCCTGAACAATGGTATCTAATATTGGGGTAATTAATAGCTGTTTTCATGTATTTTGTTACTTTTGTACAGGTATCGCTGTATACCAAGCTAATGAATCAGTGCTGTAGAGATAAAAGTCTGTGGGACTGAGTAGAGTGGAACAGTAACAATTATTTTGGTATTATATCACAGTTTCCCCTTTCCCTATCCAACAGAGAGATGACAGACTTTTTAGAAAAAAGATGCAACCTAACTTTTCTCAAGTAAAATGCCTATTATTTCTAACTTTTAACATGAGAAATATAATATTTAGTGCTTCTAGGAAATTGAAGGGCTTCATATAATAAGATCAACTGTTTCAAATTTCCCATTTTGTATACTGCTTCCACTTTCATCATTCACACCAATCTCTTTGTATTCAGCAGAATCCTCACACACAAGTATCAAAAAGCAGGGGGGGTGGGAGTGGGGAAAGAGATGAAGCCCATTTCTTAATGGAAGGACAAAACACTTGTGCCTTTTAGAAAAACTGTAGTTAAAAAAGTCAAACCTACAAGTACCACAGAGAACCTTCATTATTATTTGGTCATTTTAATGTAACTTGGGAAGTACCTCAAGGAGAAAACGTTCAATTTGAACTGGAAATTTTAAAACAGCAGGATGTAAAACTGATGGGATAATAGAAAATCATTACACCTTTCTCAGACTGCATTTCTGGGGGATTGAAAATGTGTAGAGATTTTGTTAAATAAATCAGGTGGGTGAAATTTCAGAAGCAGTTGGCTTTACTGAGAGACAGCAATTTAGAACAATGGGCTGCCTGTCAGGTCTTGTTATTCAGTGAGGTTCAGAAAGTGTCTAGTGCCACCTATTATTCAGGCACTTTAGCCTGAGCTTTAACACCACATATCAAAAACCAGAAGCCAGGCAGTTACGGGAGCTGCAAAACACCATCTGCCCATATGAATTCATATAATCTAACCCTAACAAATTCAGAATCAGTCTCAAGCATTCTTCCCCCTTATTGTCCCTACTTTGTCAGCTACACCCTAACAATGTTCTCAGTTACAATCGTTTGCACACTCCAGTCCAAAGATCCTTTACAATCCCCCTCACTGTCACCAACATGTCCAACAATGACCTTGGTCACAGAAAGCCATGGGGCCTTTTTGTCTACAGAGAAAGCAGGAAAAGTGACATCCTAATTAGAGCACAACAGCTGAACATCACTCCTTATCCAGTAATCGTGTCTAAACGTTAGTCTGAAACAAGCAGAGAAGCAGAGCTGCAACAGAGCATTCATATCAATGCATTAGAATGGCAATTTAAGGCAGTGGCTAGTAAGTTCTTTACTGATCAGCATCATTAGTGGCTTTCAATATTTTCCAGATGTTTACAAAAGCCATATAAGTGACTGGTCTTGATCTTTTTCTCAAGTTTCTAGCAGTTGAGGAAGGAAGCAGAGGGAATCTCTCCTATTGAGCTCACCACAGCCCAGGAACAACTCCCTTGTCTACACTTCCCCTTCTTGCTGTGTAATGCAGAAGAAGATGACGTACATGAAATTTTGTAGTGCAAACTAAGAGGGTGCATCAGTGTCCTTTTCTGCAGTTGCCCATTGGCAAATTCCATGCTAAAATTAGGCTGACAACACACAGAGCACAAGATTTGTGCTGAGCTATAACACCCTCTCAGTTCTAACTACACACAGACTTGTGGTTTTGTTCCAAGGAGTTTCCAAAGCATCCCCCTGGATGCACCTGTCATGCATGCCAGTCAGGCACCTGTGCAGAGCAGGCTGACAGAAGATGGAACTAATTCAAATTCTGGATGGGATATATCGGTATGAATGCATGCACAAACAGAAAGGCATGCACAAACGTGCAAACAGAAAGAGGAACAGTTTAAATTTTAGAAAGCTCTCATCATGAGTGACACAAACATGGAAACCTAACTTCAACTGCCTTGTTGACAGATGTTTATTTTTATTTTTTCATCTAAGAGATTTGTGAGGTAATACTGAAGCATATCTACAAAAACATGCTAGCTTAATTAAACACTGTAATGAATCGTGCTAGTCTAATATATTTTAGACTAGTGTTAAACAGACTGGACAAAAGTAGCCAGGCATATTAAATGTATTATATTACATTATCCTTTCCAGTCAGAAATTCAGACCTTCAATACACCTTATCAGATTCAAAGTCTGATAGAAAGATGCAGACATTTGGCATAGCAATTTCTTGCTTCTCTCTTCCCTAAGCAATACCACATTCAAAAAGAAACCAAACACCCAAAACTTCATTAATGCAATTTTTACACATAATTATTTTTGCCAACCTTATTGGCAAATTCACGTATCCAAAATTCAATCACAGGAAGTGCAATTCTATGCATTGCAGAGGACACTGGGAATAGTAAAAAATACGTTCTTTCTTTTACTGCATAAACCAAAACCCCCACAATTAATACATAAAGTTCAAGTAAACATTTCATTACACAAATGATATCTATGCAAGACGGAATTAACAGTTTTAGTATTTATATGTTCTATTCTAAATTTAATCAGAACTTAGCAACTTAAAGCATTCTTCCACAGTCTAGAAATCTTTCTTTCCATCTGCTTACATATAACTGTTGCTACTCATGAAGTATAAGCATTGCAGAAAAACATTTAACCTTCAAAAATTAGCATATCCCAAACAAGGAAAAATAAAAGGCTTACATATCATTAAAACCAGCAAAATTAACATTTTTAATTACTTGATTCACCACTGGTATAATGGTATTTACCATGGCATTACTTTACATATCTTAGGAATTCTGTTAGAGGCAACAAAGAGCATCTTCACAAAATCAATTTCTAAATGTTAAAGAACAACCCTTAGCACCTAACATTAATAGAATTTTCTTACCTGAAGTCCAGCATTGTCTGCCTGTCCTCCTTTAACTAACTGGGAGATGAAGAGGCCACAGCTGAATTCCACTCCACCTCTTACACTTAATCCAAGCCCTTCAGGATTCAATCGATCCAATCTCACCTCTTTCAGCTTTCTGCAAAAATGGAAAACACTTCAGTGTTCAGCTGCATAACACCTTGTCTCAATTGTGTTTCATATGAAAGTTAGACATTATTTTTCTCTTTTATAATTTAGGCATAAAAAAGCAAGTTTACTGAGGTTTGGAAGGATGTGTGTTAACTAAAACCATCAAGTTAATTCATATGAAAATATTTGAAATCACTGAAACTGCTTTTAGTGTTAGAGTGATGAGATTTTTTTTATTATTATTAAATTCATGAAAAATGAGAAAATATTGTTTTTGACTCCTTTACCGTGCTTTTACTAGATTAAACCAATTGGCAAACAATTTAAGTACAGTACAGGTGGCTGTACTGCTACCAAATGCAGCAAAAGTAAAAACTGCCCAACTCTACACAGGTGAACAATATTTTACTCTTAATTTACCTCAAAACAGTATTTCCTACCCTATTTTTTATTTAGGTTATTTTAAGTTTTTATTTAAGTTATCTGCATTGTTTTGTTGTTGTTCTGCATTGTCTTACCGTGATCGTTTGGGTGTAAGCTGATCGTATTCCACCTGGTGTTTTAATGGAATGAGTGGGCGGATAGCATCAAACAGAGGCAACCTGCTTGGTTCATTAATCACGAGTTTTAGGTCCCCCACAAGCACTGGGAGATTCATAGACCTGCAAAAACACAGTGACAAAACAAACACAGGTAAACAACACACCAACAAAAAGCTTTGATTTTATAAGTTGTTGTGTACATGGCTTCAATATTTGCATGTCCTTTTGAGCTACCATAAGAAATACTTATGTAGATACTGGTTTGATGAAAGCAAAATAGCCCCTGAGAAAGCAAACCTTCTGTAAATAAAGAATACTTGCTTCAAAACATGTGAAGGCTTCTATTGATCTTTCACTTGATCTTTTAAGGTCATGCACATCACGTTTATAGATGACATCTCCAATTTCATTCTCAGACTACCCACAAGATTTATGAACTATTTGAAAATAACTTTCCAGATTACACATACCTGACTAATGGATTTTTGTTTCCTTACTAGTTAGGGATCCTTGTAAGTAAACATAGGCTACATGCTCCTTCCTTTCCTGAACTTAGGGGACTGACAAATTGTTTCAATCCAGGGGGGGAAAAAAAATCACAATATTCAGCAGCTAGAGCAAAGACTGCTTAACTTCCAATTTTTGTTCAAAATCAAATTTGAAGGCTGATTAACTAATCCACAAAATCCACAGAAGTTAAACTGTTGTGAACATCTCTTACATGAGAGCAAGGCAAAGTGGTCTCCCTGAAATTGTCAGCACTGAGATGGTTACAGTCTACAAAATATGCTTTGTTGTACAGCTGCAGGAGTGGAGGAATAGCTAAGGTTCAGTGGAGCTATTCCTATAAAATATTCAGTTAAACTTTTTGTGTATTATTTATGGTTCCCTTTCTTTCAATTTACATTTCCTGGGATGCAATATTTCTAAGGCATGGGCATTGAAAATACAGATCAGGAATACCTGTATGGGATTAGAGGTCAGATACTTCTGGAAATACTATTCACAGTGAAGCAGAAATTAAGTACTAACTCCAACAACAATTGCACATATTTTTGCCCTGGGATATTTCATAATGTATTCCCAGGAAGTGATACATCATCACTATATGTTCACAGAGATATGGAAAATTTTGCCCAAGTTTTTGCAATTGTGGACATGGAAGAAAAGTTGCCATATGCATTGTTAATTTTGTAACTGCAAGAAGATTTTAAATAATTCAGATCTGCTGAACCAACTGGCTTTCCAAACAACAGTCTTTATGAATGGAAAAACAATTAGACAGACCTGAGTGAAACTGAATAAGATATGCAGCTGAATACCCCCATAACTACAAACATCAGATGGAAACATATACATTTCACTCAGCTGAGAAGCTTTTAATTACAATATGAATGGAAACAATGTCTATGAGAGCCACTTGTCTATGATTACTGGAAAATATATTCTCATCTTCTCTGAAAAACAATGGATCATAGGCTGATGTCATTTGCAACGAAACAAGTCTGAGGCAACTGTGGTTTAAATCAGTTCAGCAAAAGGGTTGCTAATAGGCCTATCACCTTTCCAATTTTTTACTGTTGTGTTATAGTAAGCCAGAGTCACTAAACACGCCAAACATATTCCAAGAGTAATTTTTTCAGCTTTGTGAAGGACAGTTGCAAAATTTTTATCTGAAAAGTTAGCAAAAAATCTTTGAAAAACGTCAGAGAAAACTTTGTATCAAACAAATAAGCACTATTTGGAAATATGAAAGAATTTTATTAATGCTCTCTTTCTGTTTCCTAAGAACAGTTTTGTCATGCAGGAGCCTCCCCCCACAACCCCCTACATATGAATCCACTACACTTTTTACAAAAACTGCCAAGTCATAAAACCAAAGTAACTTTATAAGTGATTGCAGACATGCTCCTTCTTTGCCTGCAGGTTATGCTGTGAAACCACAAGATTTCATTAAACAGGATAAAACCCTCTTATTTAAATTACTTTTCTAGTAGCATATAGAAAGACTATCTAAAATAATGAATATTAATTCTTCAAATTAAAAAATATTAGTAAAATTCCACACCAAAATATATAAAGATCTTACTGGTGGTACATCCGCAGCACATCATAAAGGTAATCCTTCTCTGCTTCATTGTCAATTAATAGATTGACCTGGAAACCCAAAGACATCATTGTTAATTTCCGACTTATTAGACACAAATGCTGAACATGAGAGACTTTCACAGATTCTTAAGCTGTAGAGCAAAAGCTTCATCAAGGAAAAATAATTTTTTGAAGATAAACATGTTTTTGCAACAGAGCATTACCTCACATTTACAATGAGAATTTCTAAAATTAGTATGACAACAATTAGACAAGGTGGTGAATCCTGATATATTCTGTATGCTAGATTTCCCTTCACCAGTAGTATTGTTACAGTAATATCATATTTGTCTTACCTGATAATCACTGTACTGTTGAATAAATGTCTTCAGAAACCTTTTTGGCCACTCGTTAATGTAGCACATGCTGTCACAGATAAAACCACCACGCTGAGATACAATCTCTGTGCTGTCGTCCAAACCACCGATTTCAGGAGCTCACTTATAGCATTATGCAAACTGCTACACCTCTGTTCCTCTTTGCTCCAGCTCTTAACTGATAGAACTTGCTAGTTATTCTTTCCTCCCCTACTAATAGTACCTTTACTTAAACCAGTGTCATATTACTATGCCTGCTCTTGGATAATTACAGTAAATTAAAGCAAAAGAAAACCAAACCCGAATTCTTCCATGAGGAGTTCAATTTATACTCGGTGACAGTGAGACCCCCACTGATCTTACTTGTAGCGAGAGGTCACATCACGTCAGTTTTACATCTGGACAAGCATGATGTTTAGGAAAACAATTTACATCTGACCTAAAGGGTAATATTACTGTGACGTGAAGACTGAGAAGCAATTTGCATACTTAAAGAAAGGCCCTTTCTTTCAAGGTTTGCAATGGTTTGTATTATGTTCTAAACTAAATACATGCTTCATATTCCTTTTGTCCCACTTGGCTCTCTAAAGCCAGCAAGACTTCACATACCAGTGGTTTTCTATTACTTGTACCTTCTGGCTCTCTAAAGCCAGCAAGACTTCGCATTCAGGTGGTTTTCTGTTACTTGTCTCCTCTGGAAAAAGACACTTTCAAAACACCTAAAGGCCAGAAAGCTACATGCAGGTCAAGATTGCGTTACAGTTATACCAATGAATACCATTTATTCACATTGAATTTCAAAACACATAGCATAAAGTCTGTCTTAAAAGGAAATAAAATGTTTGTAGTCAAAACTTCAGCAATACTGTGCACAGACTCTAGGCAAGGCTAATTGTAAAGGTAAAACTCAAGGTCAAACTAATTCCAGCATCCATTTTTTCACTTCCCTGACTGGTAAAATACAGAGCTCAATCCCCAGTGCAAGCTAAGATACTGTATGAGCAGTGTCCCACAAAGAACATTAAAAGTTTAAGTGCATCAACCCTACACAGCAAAGAGTAAAACCATCATCTCTTTTTCCTGACAGGGAAAGCAAAAATCAACAATTCAGTTTTTCTCCTGGTATATTTGCTGGTGGATACATCCTCATTTCCTCTCAGAAAATGCAAGAGCACATCAAAATTCTGCTATTTCTTCTGACAAAATATTCAGTCTTTCTGTTTGACTCCTGCCCTTCTCATCCTAACCAGCAACTTCCTTCTCGTCTGATAAAACCCAACACCCAGATGATTTCTAATATGTTTAGAATGCTACAGCTGGGTTAGTCATCCTGGGCCACCTCTACTAATGGGTCATTCTCCTCCTGCTGTCTTCTCTTCCAGCAATTATCACTGCATCATAGCCACCTGCATCTCATGCCATTTTCCTAATTCTTTAACTCCTTGGGGTTAAGTCTTGCTGAAAACATATGCTTTACCTGGACTTATCATGAGCTTCTAAAAGCTGAGTCTAATTTCATAAATCCTAAAATATAATCCCCCCACTATTAAAAAAAAAATTGTGGTGACATGGTGTAACTTTTTAGTATCTAATTACTGTAGAGTCATGGGATAGGTGATTTCACACCTTTTAAACCAAGGCTATTTAAGAAAATCATCTGGACACAGCCCTGGACAATCAGCTCTTGGTGGCCCTCAGCATGGGGAAGAGAACCCCCAGGTGTCCCTTCCACCCTCAACCCTTCAGTGATTATTTAAATAGTCTTCATAGTAGTTGTATCATTGATAATGCTACAATACAAAGAGTTGTTTATGCTCTATTTGTCACTACATACATTGTACTGCTTTTCAAATAAATTAATAAAAAATCATCACACAATCTGCACCTACATACATACAAAAAAAATGAAGTCTGTCAAGAAGTCTACCTAAGTTTATTCAGTGGAATAGAAGCTGTGGGGAGGAAAAAGCACTTTTTTGGTGTGGAAAAAGTTCAGATTACAATAATGCAGTATGTTAGCACTATCACAATCTGCCAGATTTCAAAGAAACATATGAAGTCCTATTTAAGCTACAAAGATTTTTGAAAACTATTGAAGGAAGGGGAAAAAACTGTTTTGGATATATAACATATTTTACATTGCTGCTTGGTTGATAGGAAAACTGATTAAAATTGTTAAGAAAATAGAAACTAAGAAAAAAAGAAAGAAGTATAGAAATATAACTGCTATTAACTGAGGAAATTTAGATCTTGTAGTGAGGATCTTCACTGGTATGTCACAGAAAAAGTAAACATCCAAGACTGTGGATGCCACAGAGGTCACTAGAAGCAGGATGATACAAAATAAAAAAAAAAGAAAAGACCTGTTTCAATATCTTCTAACTCAGATCAAGCTGTCACTGATATTTGCATACCAGCTGTTTGCAGCAACACTGACAATATGTTACGGTATCAGGGGTGGGGCTTGAATGATTTATGAATTATAGCAGCAATGAAAGGGAGAAGGTTTAAAGTTCAAGACAGTAACCACCCACCTAGAAGCCAGAGTCTTTACAGAAATGTTGCACAACCCACTGCTGAGTTATACAGTAATAGGGAGCAAGGCAGAAACAATGTGCTAGATGGCTGCAGTCATCATTATGGAATATCCAGGTCCTTAATGTTCTTGAACTCCAATTTGACATACAGAAGTGTTTTTGAAGTCCCTCTAATTCATCCTAACAATCCCTTGGTTAATGTGTTTGTTACCAGGTGGCAGATACTTCTATAAAGCATTACATTACTTTGTGGAAATTGTGTGTTCTAGCAGATTAAAAAACCCCAAAAAAACAAACAAAAAACCAAATCAAATCAACCACAACTTCCTTCACAAAACAAAACAACCCCCCACAAAACACTACAGAAAACCTTAATCTGAGAGAGTCCTAAACGGCTTGGCAAAAACATCTTTTACACATGTAAACTATTTTCCTCCTTCCCTTAATTAGAGCTTTTCGAGCGTTCTTCGCTCATACAATTTCGCGCTCTGCCGAGCACTTATTTAACCGGATAAATGACAAAACGACGGTGCCAGGCAGCCCGAGCCGCTCCATGCATCAAGTGCGTTCGCACACGAGCGCACAGCTGCCCGGGGAATGTTAAGGTGGAGCAGAGCGGGCCGAGCCCCGCCGGGAGCGCGCAGGGCTGAGCGGGCACCTGCCCCGAGCAGCACCGGCTCCACCGGGACATTAAACACAAATAAACTGTCCCAAGCCCTGAAAACGCTCCTGCACTGCGGAACGTTCCTCTTCTCTGCCTCTCCAAAGGCTTTAACACCCAGCCCGTCCCGGCAGGCTGCCACCCGCGCCGGTGGCAGGGCAGTGCAAAGTCCCCGAGCTTCTCCCTTCCTGCCCCGCGGCTCTCCGGGGCACAGCCGTGCCCGGCCAGGGGGCTGTGCCGCCCGCAGCCTCCGCTGCAGCCGGGAGGCGGCCCCGGCCGTCCCCGCCGCCTCACCTTGTGCCGGAACTCCCGGGCGACGCGGCGCTCCATGGCGCGGCTGCGGTGCGGGCGCTGCGCGGGTGCGGTGCGGTGCGGATGTGGGTGCGGGGCGGCTGCGCGGGCGAGGCCGCGCCCCGGGGCGGTGAGAGGCGCGCCCGCCGCCTCCGGCAGCCCCGGCATGGCAAGGGACGAGCAGCCGGGCACCGCTACCCGCCCTGGGCTTGCGGCCGGAACGGCCGAGAAAGGAAAAGGAAAATAAGCATCCATCCATACACGGCGCCTGCCCCGCCGTGTGCTACCCGCGCTTCTCACTGGGCTGGTTTGTGCAACTGGCTCTCCTCAAACGGGACTCGGCTCCCATAGCAATTTCTCTCCTCTATTTGTAGGTATGTATGCTTGCCAGTAACACTAATAGTTTTAAGGAAAGCATGAAGATGTGAACTTTAAAACATACTCACACCCGAGTTAAAAACAAAACAACCAACCAAAAAAAACCCAAACAATCTGAGCCCAAACAGAAAAAAATTGCTCAAATAAATTGTTGTACAGCAAATAATCTCAACTCCTTTATTTTTAACTAAGCAGAGTGAAGCTAATGCCTCATTGTCGAAATCGGACTTTCCCCAGCCTTTCCCACAATGTTGTTGCTTACAAATAGAGCCTCTGACGTGGCTGCTGTGAGTAACTGCAGAAGAAGCAAGCTCGGAGCACCTGAAAAGAAACCTATTTTGGACTAATCTCTTTCATACTATTTTGTCTTGAGCTGGTTCTTCTCCCGCTTTCCCTGCTGTGGTTCAAGATCATACATTTCCTCAGTCTGTAGGGTAGTGAGGGGAGGACACCTGCTCACCCAAGTCTCTTGGTCTCCACGCAGAATCACCTTTAACCACGTAACTCCAGAGAGAGCAGGGTTTCTTAAGGACAGGTAACTTACCTCTCCTCCTTCCAACCGAGTGGAAACTTGTATGAATACAGATAAAAACATGATTAAAAAAAAAATCCATACTGTGGAAGCCCCTGTGTTCTATTTTATTATTTCTGTGTGATAACTTGTGTAAGCTACACCGGCTCATTAGAAACTGCTCTTAGCCCTTTCAGATGGTTTTGCTGTATTGGAACATTTCAGCTGTATGTACACTACCCATTTCTCATGTCAGGTGTCAGGAATATGAGAGGAGTGCATATTAAGCCTGTATACAAATAAATACAGTAATTTTCAGAAAACAGTTTTCTCTTAAAATTACAGCTATTAATACATAAATCACTTTTACCTAAGTTCCAGTACCACACAATACCAAAAAGCTAGTTTCTCCACACAGATATAAAATTAAACACACAGATACAGATTTTCTTCCATGCACATGCAAAACAAAACTGTCTTGTATTTGAAAAGAGAAAGAAGGAAACACAAAAAATTGAAAGCACACATTAGAACCCATCCATGTTGTGTCTTTAAATTTACATATAATCTAGAACAATCATTTATTATCTATCAAACATTTCTAGAAGGCTTTACAGGAATTGATCTTATCCAAGCTCAAAGTTATGTACATTTGAAAGAAAGTAACTGGTTTTATGATATAGATAAACTTCTCAGGAGTCAGAAACTCCTTCATGTAGTAAAGAATTGTGGAACATCTCTTGGTGATGTGAAAGCTGCTCCAAATCATGTCAAGAACACTGTGCAGGATGACAAACTTGGTGGGCTGTTATTCTGCTGTTACATGAATTCCTGTGCTCTACTGTGCTTAAATACAAAGCAAACAAATCCACAAAGCTAACTCCTGCTCCCAAACTGGAAGCTGGATAATCATCAATACATTTATGAGATGGTTCTGAAGTTTTCATTGCTTCAAATGCACCACATATTAAAAGATGGTACAATTATGACTGTTTAGTATTTTGAGATAATGAAATCTTTCCTAGGAAGAAATCAAATTGCATCTAAATTGGTTCTAAATTAGCTTCAATTCTTGTTTGCTACCTGTGGTACAAAGAGAAAATGAACAAAGTGAGCAGCTCATTTAGTAGGCAAAGAAATACATTAGAGTGTGTGTTGTGTAACCTGATTCCTGTTGCTTTTATCTACTTTCTCTACTTCCATTAATGTAACTTGGATCAGTGAAAGTGCACCAAAGCCAAGCACATGCTGCACTCAGAGCAGGTATAGGCTGAGGCTAGCACATAGTTCTAAAAATTTGGGGTTATTTGGAAAAGGCTGTGTCAAAGTTAAAGGCTATCTTTATTTCTCACTTTTTTTCCTCTCAAGCACATTCTCCCTCCAACACTTACAGGCGGGAACAGAATTCTCAGTGAAAACATCACTAGTTTTCCATCATTTCATTAGAAATGAAATGCAAGAAACACAATCCAGAGGGACAAATTACAAAGGCAGAAAAGAGATCTTTTTAATGACTTACTGTTAACAGACTTCCCAAAGCAGTCAGAAAAGGCCCCTTTTTATCTGAGACAGTTTCTCACCTGGTATGGGCAGCTTCTAAAGCTTCTGTCATAAGATATGCAAACCTGAAGAATGATGGGGAGAGAGACAGCAGCAGATGGGAAAGGGAAAATAACAGGAAAGGTAACAGTGATAAGAGGAGAGAAAAGGAAAAAAAAACCATAATGGAAGGAAGCACGTTTAATCATAAATAGTGAAAAAAAGAAAACAGAGGAGGAATAAACGTGGAAAAGGCTCCAAAGAGAGCTCCAGAGTGTGACTTTATAGTAAAAAAAGTTATTAGAAGCTATGGAAACCATCCATACACGTTAGCTGCATTCAGTGTATGTCTCGCTTATGCCTGACACCTCTTTCAGTGGGGCCGCTGCTCCGTGCTGAGCACGGACAGGATTTGCTCCGAGTTGGATATTTGCTGCAGCAGGAGCGGGCGGCTGCGGGCCGCGCTCGGTCCGTGCTCATCCGCAGGAGCTGCGGGAGCAGCCCCGGCCCCGCTGGCCCCGGGGCGGGCGCTTAGAGCGGCGGTCCCGGCTGCTGCTGCCGAGACACCGGCACACGAACCTCCCAAAACCGCGGAGAGCGGACAAATGGGGGGGCGAGGTCAGCGCCGGGAGAGGCCAGGGAGAGGCGACGGCGGGGCCGGACCCGCGGCCGGGCGAGGGGCGGTGTCCGGGCGGGGTGCCGGGGCAGGGCTGGGCCGGGGCCGGGCGGTGGATAAACCCCCCGGCCGCCCCGCCCGGGAGGGCGGGATGAGCTCGGGGTGCAGGTAGCGGCCGGAGCTCCGCGGGAAGCCGCTGCCGCCCGCATGGAGACCCGGCTCCTCCTCGGGGCGCTGCTGGGCGCCTGGCTGTCCGCAGGTGAGTGTCCCGCCGGCTGGGGCACCGCATGGCATGGCATGGCACGGCACGGCACGGGAGGGTGGACAGGGCAGCCCGGGCCATCACTAACCTGCCTTTTGCCCTTGCCTTCCAGCCCTGTCTCCGTGGGGTGCCCGGGCTCAGCTCCCGGCCGGCCTGGACCTGCCGCTCCCCAGGTAAGAGCCGGCCGGGGCACAGCGGGGGCTTTCCGGGCTGGGTGGGTGCCACACTGCCCGGGCCGAGCCAACGATGGTCTTTTCTCCCCCTCAGCCGAGGCAGCGCTGCGGGAGCCCGGAGCGGGGGCGGCCTCGCCGCGGCGGCGCAGGTGAGGATGCGGGCCGGGCCGGGCTGAGGGGCGGCGGGCACCGCGGGGCCGGGCAGCACGGCACCTCGCTGGGAACACCGGGATACTGGGGTGGGCAGCTTCCCACCGGGCCCTGAAGAGAGAGCATCCACCTCATTGCATCCCGGGCTCGTGGGGTGATGAGTTCAGGTGGTGCCAGGCTCCCAGCGCCGCTGCCCGGGCAGAGCCCTCTGAGGGGCCTGGCGGTGCGTTCTGATTGTCCATCCACCTGTACATTGCTGTGATACTGTCCCTATTTTGGGTGGCTATTCTACCCTTGGTAATTCTTCAGGACTTGCCCTCGAATATGTATTTTACCCCAGCCGCGAGGTCTGTCAATCCTGAACGAAAGTTTAGTGTTAGAGCAGCAAGCAAAGATTGTGTGATTGTATCCAGAGCTTTAGCTTGTTCAGGAAGTTATGTGCTGTGCAAAGCATCCTTGCTCGAGGAAAAACTGAGGTCTGAGGTCAACAATTGCTTTGTGGGAGCCTTTTTGCCTCTCGGTAGAGGTAAATGAGCTGGCAGTATCGGGTCACTACAGCTCAGCACTCAGGTTTTTGGATGTGGTTTGTCTTGGCAACTCGACTGTGTCACTCATGGCACGTTGCTGAAATGTAATTAGGGTGTGTGGTTCCCGCTCCCTTGTTCGAGGGTGGGAAAAGGAAGGGTTGCTTTGTAGTCCTTGTTCGTGGTTCCTCAGAGGGAGTCACCTTTCTCTCTGCTTTCTCCCTGCTCTTTCTGGGAAAAGCTCAGGAAAGAAAAAATGTCACATAACTGCAAACAGGTAACCAAATCAACCACCAATAATAGTGAATGCTCCTGGATTTAGGCTCTCCCACCAAGAATTCAAAATGTAGTAATAAACTTTTTGTTTCTTTCTGGGCTAGCCTATTGAGCAGAAATCTTCAGTAAGAACTATGTTTAGGAGGAAGGAAGAAGAAAAATATTGGAGTCTTGAGTAAACTTTTTACTTTACAGTGGTGTTTTTTGAGAACTTTATAGTAAGCCAATACAAAGCAATGATCTTAGTAAAAATGGTGAATTTACTGACAGAAGAGACTTTTAAGTGTCTTTTTTATAGCTGCTGATTTCTTTGTTCTTTCTGAAAGGAGTCTGGAATGGCAGTTTATAACACTTCACCTACAACAATGTCCTTGTCTCGGAACAGGAGAATTCACAGTATGAAATGTGACCCACCCAGTAAGTTATTTATGTTTCTGCATAAAGTGACATCTCTAGTCCCTTATTTTTTGCATTGTTTAATCATTCCTAGGAAGAAAAAAATTCTAAAATAGGTAATATAGGCCCTAATGGGGCTTTACCTTGTTTGGTTTCAAAGGAACCCAGGAGTATAGAAATTTGTTGTGGAGCTTCACCTGGCTTTAAGTTTACACCTGGTTCTGATTTGATAATTTGGAAGACTATTCCTAACCACAGGTTTTGTAATAAAGGGTTTCTGGAAAGGAAGTCTTCTCTTATAGTGGTT